TGGACATGGAGATCATGGAAGCAGGAAGGGTCAAGGATGACTCTGAGGTGGCAGACCTGGGTGATTGGAAGGACAGTGGTGCCCTCAACAGACGTCAGGAAATTTGGGTCAGGTGGGGGACATTGAATTTGTGTTGGGGCACCTCAGAGATGTTGGCAAAGCTGTAGTAGAGTTCTGGTCTAGGGGACAGTTTTGGGCTAGACATATAGACCTGGGAGTCACCTGCATAGAGATAATTGAAGCTGCAAGAGCAGATGAGCTCACCAAGGGAAAGAGTTTTAAGGGACAAAAGATGACACAGACAGAATACTTTTCTCACAGCCTTCTGCAATGACTTTTGCAAGTATTACTTCCATTTTACAGATAAAAAACTATGAGGCCCATAGAGATTAAATGACTTGTCCAAGGTCATGTGGATAATAAGTATCAAAGACTGCTTTGTATCCTGTGTCCTGACTCTGGGTCTCACACTCTTCCTACTAAACTGTACAAGGCATTATGGAAGACAGAAGGCTGGGTGGGGTGAGGGGTGTCATGCGCAGCATAGGACATTGGTGGAGGCACAAGGTACTTGAGGAGACAGGGTGTTAGGAGGGCACATGGAAGTTAGAAGAGGCATGGTATCTTAAGGGTGGCACAGGGCATTGGGGAAATAACTGTGTGTTACAGGAGGCACAGTATCAGGGAGAGGTAATAGGGTTTTGTAGGAAGCACAGGTTGGCAGGAAAGGAAGAAAGGCTGAAGGGGGGCTTAGAAAGTTGTGGGAGGTAGAACACTGGAAGGTCTTCGATGGGGAGCAGAGAGGGTTATAGGGGCCAGGAGGCATTCAAGGAAGCAGCTAATATTATAGGAGGCACAAGATGTCAGGCAGCAACACGTTGGAAAAGCACAAGGCGTTCTAGGAGGTACACAGCATCTGTGCGGACATGAGACAGCCCAAAGGGCACAGGATAGACGCCACGGGAAGCAAAGCTTTGGTGGAAACACAGGCAGTTGTCACCAGTGGTGTTCCTGGAGGCTTAGGACATTGGGTGGGTGGGTAGGGGGCAGAGACTGGGGGAGGGGCAGATTACAGGGATTGAGGGGGACGTTGATAATGCAGGCCATCAGCAAAGTCACAAACAAGACTTTATTTAAACACAAAATGTTGAGGTAAAAAGAAGAGGTATGGGGTACATAGGTTGTTCTAGGCATATGCATATGCAGAATTCATGACAAAGGGCCTATGCATAAACAAAGCTCAAACCTGGGGCCGAAAGGACCTGGGGTTGGGCCATCAGGTCCAACCCTCTGCTTCTGCTCCGGGCAGGCTCGGGGCACACACAGCATGGCCTCAAATAACTGCCGGGCTGAGCCAATGAGAGGGAAGGAGCTTTTCTAAAAATGGCCGGGCTGGGCCCAGCAGCTGGGGCTCAGGCCTGTCACATGCAGGTCTAGAATTAGAATCACCCTCCTCTCCTCCAGCAGGCCCATGGCCTGAGCCGGAGTGAAGGCTGTATTAGGGATAAATGGACTTGTCTCTACAGGAAGCCCTGAGCCCAACGGAGAGATGGGAGATGTTAATAAAATTCTTAACTCCCCTCCTGCCATTTACAACACGTGGGACCTTGGTAAGCCTCTTAACTTCTCTGGGCCTCAGTTTCCTCATCTGTAAGATGAGGGGAGTGTAAAATGCAAGGGTCCAGATAGCACACAGCCCTTTCAGGGAGCAGTGAATAGAGTCAGGTACCTGGGTCTGCATGCTATTTCTGTAATTGTGTGACTTTAGGCAAATCACTTCCCTTCTCTGGGTCTCAGTTTGCTCTTCTGTAGAATGGAGCTGATATTCCCACTCCCTCCCTCAGAGGGTTGTAGTGAAGAAAGTACTTTGTAAGCTGCAAAGCACTGCAGAAAAGGGAACTCCAACCCCTCACCTTCATCCCCCCTTGCTACCTTTGGGTATTTACATCTCTTCCAAAATGATTCTGACTCAAATTTACTGTGCGGCCTAGAACAAGTCACTTCCCGTTTCTGGGCCCAAGTTTCTTCATCCCCTTATTTTTAAGATCCTATCTAGTTCTGACAATCTAAGTTTATGAAGACACAGTTAGGAAAGTTCTCTTCTCAGGAACCAGAGATGTTCCTGAAAGAGTCCAAAGAGGGTTTAAAGACTGGACCTGGGAGTTGATTGATATAGAAAAATCCTATCACTCAAGTTATATAGGAGGCAGGTTTCATTTCAAGGTAAATGAAAGGGATAGGAGTTGGTGCTGTGATTTACAGGACTGCTCCCTGTGTGAATGAGGAACTCCAGAGTGAGGGAACTCCCTCCACCAATGCAGGTAACCACCAAGTCACTCACCCCCCCCCCCGGGTCACACAGCCTGGTCTTCCTGGGTCCTAGGTTGGCTCTCCATTGGCTTTGCCACAATGCTTCTAGAGTCTACAGAACAAGACAAGGTTTTCCATGGACATGGAGACAGTCACACAGACTGGAAGACACACCAACACCCAAAGGACAGACAAACAGAAGCATGAATTTTAAAGTAGAACAGGACAGACAACCAGGTCCTTGTCTGTGCTTTCAAAAAAAAACCCAAAAAACCAGCAGTCAGGCCAGACAGGCTGAACACACTTTGCTACCTCTAAAGAACCAGCAGGCCCCTTAGCACTAGAAGGAAGTTAACTGTGGCCCTGGGGAAATTCATTTTTATTGGGGGTGGGGAGGAGCATCAGCATCAGTGCAGTGGGCAGCCTGACCCGTGCAATACAATCGTTTGGAGGAGACAGCTGTGCCCTCAAGACTGTGGGGTGGTGCCACATCCCCTAGCCCCCAACTGTTGATGCCTTCCCCCCACTAGGTCTCTGGTGAAAACTTCCGTGGGCGAGAAGGATCTGTCCTCAATATTCAGAGAAAGGGAATCTGCCTGTTACTACCACTAAGCCCCGCAGATATGGTCCTCAGATATCCCCGCAAAAGCGGCAGGTACGCAAGGAACTTAGGCTTTGGGTTTGAGGGAGAAAAGTTTGTGGATTTTTTTAAGCCATCAGCTTCCACAGTCAAGGCCATGAGAAGACACTCCCCCCCATCCCCACCACCTGCAGATGTCCCCTGCACCAGGGGAAGATGGTGTACTGCTAGGGAAGGGATGTGTCCAAGGAGGACAGGCGGGCAGGCTCACTTTGCCTTAATGAGGTTTGACACTTGCTCCAATGAATAAAGGAAGATGTAAAAATTTTATTTCTTCAAACAATTTTGGAGGATTGTGTGGCTAGCCTGGTGGGGGTCACAGATGGAGAACTCTAAACATCAGGCCACACTCAGACTCTGTTCCCCCTACCAGTCTCTTCCCCAATCTGACTGACATTTCCACACATGCTGGATGTTGGCTTTCCTGTGGTTGGCTTTTCATCAAATGCTCCTATCTATGAAGGCTTCCATAGCCACTTCTTTTGAGTTAAAAAATGAAGTTTGCTGCTCAGGCTCTCAACTATGCAGATGGGGAGAGATGAAAACCTTAGTTCTAGGTTGGATGGAACTCAACAAGACTGGGATATAGGAGGCAGCCACTCTGCTGTCTCTGATCCCCTTGCCACTCCTGCCTCCCCACCCCACTGTATTGACTTCTAAAAAATTTTATTAATTTATTTTGATTTATTAACAATCACTTCCATATGCTTTTGAGTTAAAAATTTTTCTCCCGCTTCCTCCCCACCGCCCTCCCCAAGGCAGCGCACGATCTGATATAGGCTATACATTTACATTCCTATTAAACATATTTTCACATTAGTGATGTTGTAAGTAAAAATTAAAACCAGTAGGAGGAATCATCAGAAAGAGGAAACAAACCTCAACAGAAGAGAAAAAAAATGATAGCGATTCAACTTCCATAGTTCTTTCTTTGGATGTGGGTAGCATTTTCCATCACGAGGCCTCTGGAGATGTCTTAGATCCTTGTAATGTTGAGAAGGTTAAGTTTATCAATATTAGTCATCGCACAACGTGGCTGTTATTGCGTACAAAGTTCTCTTGGTTCTGCTCACTTCACACAGCATCAGACCATACAAGGTTTTTCTGAAGTCATCCTCTTCATCATTTCTTATAGCACAATAGTATTCCATTACATTCATATACCACAACTTGCTCAGCCATTCCCCAATTGATGGGCATCCTCTCAATTTCCAATTCTTTGCCACCACAAAAAGAGCTGCTATGAATATTTTTGTACATGTGGGTCCTTTTCCCATTTGTATGATCTCTTTGGGATGTAGCCCTAGAAGTGCTATTGCTGGATCAAAGGGTATGCACATTTTTATAGCCCTTTGGGCATAGTTCCAAATTGTTCTCCAAAGCGGTTGGATCATTTCACAACTCCACCAACAATGCATTAGTGTTCCCATTTTCCCACATCTTCTCCAACATTTATCATTTTCCTTTTGTCACATTGACCAATCTGATAGGTGTGATGTGGTACCTCAGAGTTGTTTTGATTTGCATTTCTCTAATCAATAATGATTTAGAGCATTTTTTCATATGGCCATAGATGGCTTTAATTTCTTCATCTGAGAACTGTCTGTTCATATCCTTTGACCATTTATCAATTGGGGAATGGCTTGTATTCTTATGAATTTGACTTAATTCTCGATATATTTTAGAAATGAGGCCCTTATCAGAGAGACTGGTTGTAAAAATTCTTTCCCAATTTTCTACCTTCCTTCTAATCTTAGTTGCATCGGCTTTGTTTGTGCAAAAACTTTTCAATTTAATGTGATCAAAATGATCCATTTTGCTTTTCATAATGTTCTCTATCTCCTGTTTGGTCATGAATTCTTCTGTTCTTCATAGATCTGATAGGTAAACTATTCCTTGTTCTCCCAGTTTACTCATGAACCCATTTTGACTTTATTTTGGTATATGGTGTGAGATTTGGGTTCCACTGACTTCTAAAAAAATTTTTTTAGGCAGTTGGGGTAAGTGACTTGCCCAGGGTCACACCCTAGTAAGTGTCAAGTGTTCGGTCTGAGGCCAGATTTGAACTCAGGTCCTCCCTGACTTCAGGGCCAGTGCTGTATCCACTGCACCACCTGGCTGCCCCTCCATTGACTTTTAATAATAAAGTTAAAGAGAACATTGACTGCCAGTCTTGAGTGGCGTCCGGGTCAGTCAATGATCCAAGAAAACAAGTGGATGGTGGGGAAACTCAAATCCCCATCAAAATCCACCTCTCCTTTAGAATAGTCCTCGACAAGTCAATTACTCTCTCTGAGCCTCAATTTCCTCCTCTGCCAAATGGGAATAATACTTGCACGGTGCCCCTCACAAGGCTGTTGTGGGAAGTGTCTGTAAACCTTAATGCACTACAGACATGGCAGTTATGTTATTTTTAGTTCAAAGGAATGACTATTTACAAAGCGATACATGCAGGGGGGTAAAACCTAGGATAGTTAACCAGGAAGGTCAGAGGCAGCTTGTGAAACTAGTACATCTTTTAACCATCCCATTGCCACTGCACATAGAAACTCATTGGAAACTCATCCTCATCAAATATTAATATTAACACTCAATATCGTATCAATCACCAAAGCCTTTGCCCCGCCAGGGGTGTTTATGAAAAAGAGCTATTGGGAGGGGATGTGGAGGACACTGGACTTTGGTCTGGGGGTGTGGGTAGGCTTTCTAGTTTAACTGGTCAATAGGTTTGGGCTTGGGCCCCACCATCCAAACAAGGTGGAGACTAGAGCGCTCATCTCTAGCTGCCATCCTGTGGATCCAAGGCAAGGTCTGTCCATCGCCTTCTGTCCCAAGTCTGGGGGGGGCACTGTTTAGCAAGCTCAGCAGACACACTCTTGGGTCCCATCAATGTAAGGCACTGAGTTCTAGGGTCTCTAGTCCCCAGCCCAGAACTCCCGAGGAACAGGAGTATCTGTCCCTGACACTCTCCGTGTGCCCTCCCACCCCGGCCCCTTGTGGTATAAGTGTCCTCAGCCCCAGGATTCCACTGCAGCACAGGGCATATATGAAGTCAGCCTCCATCTCCAGTCTTCCTCATTTGGCTATGGCCTTGGGCCTGATACCTGTAGGGAAGGAAGAAGAATAAACAGTTTTGTTAAGAGGGACCCTCCTCTTCTCCCCATCCTCATCATGCCGCTGAGCCGTCTGCATTCGAGAAGGGGCGCAGTGCAGATCGAAGTGGGGAAAGACCCCTTGTTAGTGAGAATGTCAGCCAAGGAGAAGGGGACACAAGGACACTGCACCTCCGACTCTGCTTCAGCCTGAACAAATGGCTTCACGATTTTCCAGCAAAAATCTGAGAGTAATTTCATTCAGCCTTCAATCGTTTTACTTCCCATTCACAGGATGATAGGAAGGGATCTTAGAGATTACCCAGTCCTGCCCACATATTTTACAGAGGAGAAGGAGGCTTGGGGAAGGAAAGGGGCAGTATCAGACACAGCCAGTATCAGAGCTGAGATTCAAATCCAGATCTTTAGTAGACTTAGAGGATCTGGGTTCAAAGCATAAGCCTGGCTACTTACTGCTTCTGTGACCCTGAGCAAATCATGACTTCCTGGGGCCTCAGTTTCCTCCTAGTGAATCCATTCAATAAAGCTTAGCAGTGATAGGCTAGAAAGAAAGGACTAGGCTACTGACGGACCTGGAGTTGCGTTTGCCTCCGTGCAAGAGAGGAACAGTCAGCAGAAGCGAGGCCAATGGTTACCTTAACATGGAAATGTTGGCATTTTAAGATAACCAGCAATCTTTCCTCACCTGGGGAGTCAGAGAGGGGAGAAGATAAGGAAGGAGGGAGACAGAGGGAAGAAGAATCGACCAGCTACCAACAGCACACGTTTGCTACCAGCCGAGAAGCCTGCCAGCTCCCGGGGAGAAGCACCACGTTAGCAGAGAGCTATCGACACAGGACTGGGGAGAGCACTGTCCCACCATCGCCACCCGGGTTAGTCGAGAAGAAGCGATTCTGGCTATTTACCTACCTCACTGGACCACACAATGCCATTTTGTTTTATCATCTCCAGAATCAGAGTCAACCTCTGCTTTTGAATAAAACACATAGGAGATAACCTTGTCACAAAGAGTCCAAACCAAACCAAACCAAACCAAACCAAAAAAAGGGGACCTGTAGTTCTGTCTGAGAAGGCAAACTCCCCGAGGACAGGCAAACAAGGGAGACAAAATGGGGCTCTACACCAGCGATGTCAAACTCAAACAGAAATGGGGCCACTGATCCAGACATATGCTGGCCACATATTGACTTGACCTTAACATGTAATGTTGTCTGTTTTATTGTATTTTTATTTACTTTGTTATATTTCCCCACTGCATTTTAATCTGACGGGCAACACTTGGGAGTGTTATGGGCACCTCTGCTCTACACTATGCGATAAGAATTCAGCAAACACTTAAGAAATGGCTACTGTGTGCAGAGCCCAGTTCTTGGTCCACAGCTTGAATTCTTTTCCATGCTAGGTCTGGAAAGCAATAAGAACTTATAACTATATAGGTTGGTGAGTGAGTACTGGATAGACCCTGAGATTTGTACCTGTCACCTGACCCTTGTAACAATCTTATGAGTGAAGCAGTGAATAAAGTGCACTGTCAGTCCCATTTTATGGATGAGAAAGCTGAGGCTGAGAGAGGTTTAGTGATCTGTCCCAGGATCAATAGAGCTAGGTAAGTGCCTGAGGTGGGTTAGAACTGGAAGGCTCCCTGGCCCCTAGTCCAACCCTTCTATCTACTATGTGTCACTGCCACACTGAAAAAGAATGATGGGTGTATGTGTGTGTGTGTGTGTCTTCGGCATGAATCCCTAACTGGAAGATAAGGGGAAAGTGGATGAAGGTCCGAATTAGTATGTATGAAATGTATGAAAAAGAAATGAATGATGAAATGAAATGAAGTTGGCATGTCCATAGTGCTGTAAGTTTTGCAAAGCACTTTATAGGAATTATTGTATCTGATCCTCACAACAATCCTGGGAAGTGGGTGTTGTAATTAGCCCCATTTTGTAGATGAGAAAACTGAGGCTGAGAAAGGTTACATGACTTGCCCAGGGTCATGATGCTAGTAAGTGTCTGAGGTCAGATCTGACCTCAGGTCTTCCTGACTCCCAAGTCTAGCATTGAGCTACCTGGCTGACTCATTAGGGGGATGGGCTTTACCGAGCATCCACACTTTCTTAAGCCTGGTCTCTCTTGTGATCAGAGATGTGTGTTTGTGAGAGGGCTGGCTGGGGTCTGAGCTCAGTCTAGAGATAGTGTCAGGGCTTAACTGTGTCCTTGCTGAGAACTGAGTTCCAGATGGTATCACCAGATACCCCAGGAAGACCAGGTGCCATATGCCCATATAAGAAGAAACACCATCAGCCGCTCTGACTCAGTGGAGAAGGCCTGGGAATAGACAAAAGAGATTACCTTCATGGCTCCTAGGATGTCGCTTCTTCCTCCGCTTCCCAGATCCCTTCTTGGTTCGCTGCTGGGATCGAGGGAGGGTCCCAGAGCCCGAGGAATCAGTAACAGCGCCTTCAGAGAAAGACCTGTCCAGAGAGGTGTCCAGCACTGAGTCTGGTGCTGTGTCCTCCTCCTCGTCCTCCTCCACCTCTGGAGAAGCTGGCTCTGCATCCTCTGACCTCTGATAGCCATTCTTGGGTCCCTCGGCTGTTCTGCCAGCCTGGTGTTCTGCAGCTTCATCCTCCGCTCTGGTGGCATCGACCTCACTGCCTACGTCCATGCCCCAAGGGGGAGAGCCACTGGAAAACCTGATGGGCTTCAGAGACTTGGAGTCATCAAGCTGCACTATCTGAGGGCCATCAGGAAAGCTGGGCATTGGTGTGGAAGCTCTGTTGCCCTCTGGGCTTGGGCAGCCATGGCCACTGGCTTCAGAAGGTCCTTTGGGGATCCCAATAATAGATGCAGGACCATCTGGGTGGTCCTGGTCCCCAGTCTCTCCAGCAACAGCAGCAGCAAGGTCAAGGCCCTGCCCAGGCTTGGGGCTGTTGCCAGCATCCTTTATGGCTGCTGAGAATAAACATGTGAATGTCAGGCAAGGTAAAACCACTCCAGAGGTGGGCGTGGCGCTGAATCACCCTTTCACTTGGTTTTGTTCTGGGGGAAAAGGTCAATATAAGCACATCCACCCCACCACATCAGGTTACTACTTGTGTGTCAGCCTTCATTCATGTCAGTCCTGTGTCCTGGATGTCTCTCTCCTCTTTTCCCCCCACCCCCAAGGCCCACCTTGAACGCCACTTTCTCTAGGATACCCCACCCTGACAACCTTTCACCCTCACTCAGCTCTCCCTTCAGGGACCTCCTATTAGCCCTTACAGCCTGAGTCACACAGTCTTAGAGTGAACTCATGTTACATGTGTCACGTTTCCCACCTAATCTTAGAGCTCCCCTAGGTCAGGGATTGTCTTTGGACAGTAACGGACAACAAGGCCACTCAGAGCCTCTCGTGAAGGAGTGGGCTATTAGGAGTTCTCAACTCAGGGGTCTCCACTTCACTTAGGCCATGAGGTATGCAGTCACGGCAGCGGAATACCCTCTGGGGAATCTTCTTCAAATATGTCTACATAGTAATCAGGAGAATCAAGAGGATCATAAATGGCCCTCCAAGGTCTTCCAGTTGACTCCCCCCATTTTAAAACTGAGAAAACTGAGGCCCAGAAAGACTATATGATTTGCCCAAGGTCAGACAGGTAAGTTAGTGGCAGAGCCAGGAGCTAAACCCCAATCCTCTGACTCCAAATCCAGGACTCTTTCCACTGTACCATGTGAACCACACGTAATTTTCAAAGAGTTTGCTGGTGACACACAAATAAACAATGCGGTGTGCTAGGGATTTGCCCAGATTTGACTGGTGCTCACCCTTGAAGGGCACTTCCCTACAATCTGCTGTCACTGACATCCTCAAAACTGTAGAGACATTGGACGGCAGAGGAGTGGGTAGGACCTTTTTTTTTTATTTTAAGAAATAAAAGAAGCATTTCCATAACATACTGGAATAGAAAAAAAAAGATGATTGCACATGAAACTGTAAATTATGTATTAACTTGCTATTCCTTTCAAATATACAACAAAATTATCATGTAAATTTCCTTTTTTTTAATCCCCTGACCTAGAGATGGCTACTGTTAGATGCAAATATGTGTGTGTGTGTATATATATGAAGATATATATGTATATATATATATATATATATATATATATATATATATATAGATACACACACACACACATAAATATATACACATATACGTCTGTGTGTATGTGTATAAAATCATTCTGTACATACTTCTACTTATTAGTTCTTTCTCTGGAAGCAGATAGTGTCTTCTTTCATAGGTCCTGTGTAGTTAATATAGGTAGGGCCTTAATAATGATAATGATAAAAATAATAGTAGATGGCATTCATGTAGCACTTTGAAGTTTAAAAAGTGTTATGTTACCTCATTTGGTCCTCATGAGGTAGGTGCTGTTATTATCTCTGGTTTTACAGTTGAGGAAACTGAGGCAGACAGAGGTTAAGTGACTTGCCCAGGGTCACACAGCTAGCTAGTATCTAAGGTGGGGTTTGCACCCAGGTCTTCCTAACTCCAAGTCTAGCACTTTTTCCACTCTGCCACTAGCTGTCCATATTAGTGGAGTAAAAAATCCAAACAGAGCCTAGGTCAGACAAGTCCCTGGCTTTACTGAGTAGCTATCAACGCAAGGAAATGAGTCCAATGGCACATATACCAGTCTGGAGTTGTCTGCTAGCAATTAATTATGTCACCTGGAGGTAATTATGGACACAGTTTCAGCTCCTTCATGAGCAAGCTGCTGACACCTGTGAACTTGGCGGCTCTGCAAAGACAGATTGCAGGTGAGCCCATCTTTCTGGTGCTGTAAAAGAGAGGTGACTTGGACCTGGTCAAGGGCCTGGGTTTGAGACCAAAGCCCAGTGGTGGCATTGGGCTCCATTCCCTTCTTGCTTTTCTGAATGATCTGTCTGGTTCCTTGAAGATTCAGAACCCTAGGGGAGTGAGTCCTGTCTGAGCATACCTAACAGAGAGCTGGAGACTTTGGGGAGCCCCAGTAAGGCTTGTCTGCCTGACTGCAATTCGGGAGAGGCACAGCTAGGATTTGGGTCATCTCACTTAGAGGGCTGCTTGTGATGATACCCTGATCTTAGGTATGGCTTTGCAATCAATACTTGGTGAGTCTCAGCTGAGATGTTTTCATTTCTCCTGGGGAAGTTAATTAAAATGATAGGGAATAAGAGGTCTGGGCGGGTTTGACTTCCTTCTTGCTCACTCTTTCTCTGTGCTCCTCTCCCATACCTTCCTCCTAATGAAAGGGCAACCTCAGTGCTCAGAGAGGAATTCCTCATTAGAAGAGAAGTACAAAAGATGGCAGGGCAGAGGTAGCAAAAATTCAACCAACCAGGTAACCCAGTCTTCTTGAGCCCTGCTGTCTGTCCAGTCCTGGGTTCAGCTGGAGGAATGAAGAGACAACCTAGACTAGATCCAATCCCTACTTGTGGTGAGTTTGCAAAATGGGGGAGACTCAGGGATTTCTCAACTTGGGGGAGACAGGGCTTCATACACACACACACACACACACACACACACACACACACACACACACACACACACACACGTGTGTGTGTGTGTATATATGTGTGTGCATATATGTATGCATATGTGCATATATGCATATATGTATATGTATATACATGCATACACAGATATGTATACACATAGTATATGTGTGTAGGTGTGTGTATGTATGTGTGTGTGTGTGTGTATATATATATACATACATACACACACACACACACACATATATATATGTATACACATATATTTATAATCAAAGAGTCTCTAAATCCTAACAACAGAATTGTAGACCCCCAATTCACTGCTCAGTTGCTTTCCCCTTCTAGGCCTCCATTTCCTGATCTGTCATAAAGGAGTACAATTCACATACATATAATGTACTGTGTGGCCCACACTCTACATCCTATAAAAGTTCAAAGAAGGAGGAGTTCACTGATGTCTGGTATGAGCAGGGAAGGCTTTATGGAGGAGGTGAAATTTGAACCCTGAAGGATGGGCAGTTTAGAGGAGGGGAGCCATGTCTTACCAGTCTCTTTTTCCTTGTAGGTTTCAGAAGGTGCCACTTTTAGGCCATTCTCCGAGTCCCCTTTGCCCTTGGCGGTCTTCCTCAACCGGAAACCTTTCCTGATGTCAGCCAGGAGGGCGTCGATGACACATACTTCCTCCTGTTTCACCGTTCCCTTCCGAACTACAGAAATCCCAGAAGTCCCCCAGTCACCCCACAGATACAGCCTGCTCAGTCCTGAGCTCTCTGGGACCGAAAGAATAGAAGACACAGCATCTGCCTTTTGGGAGCCCCAAGTCTGAAGAGGAGGAAGGAGATATGACCTCTGCCCTCCAAAAGCCCCCAAGGGGAGAAAGGGAATCTAAAAAGGATGTAAAGGTATTTAGAAAGAAAATAATTTCCAGGGACTAAGGTTGTATAGGACTGAAGGGTTACTGGAATCTCTGGCAGAATTAACCAGGGAGGGCCTTCTACAGCAAGTGGCCTTTGCAGGGAGTGGCTTTGGAAGCCTTCACTCTTGGTCTTGGGTTAGGAAAACTGGTCTTGGGCTTGAAGAGTAGTAGGGGGAGAGAACTTCTCCCTACCGTGTAGCCTAAGCTGCTCACCTGGCCCAGAAACCCCATGGCCCTGGTCCCCCGGCTTACTGATCTTCCCATCTTCCCCCCGCAGCCTCTTAGCTTCTTCAGCCTCCAGCTGCTTCTTCCTCTTCTCTGCCTTCACAGCCTGCTCCTTCCAGTCCTTGTTCTCCTGATGACAAAAAAAGACAGAAGGGCCTCATTGGCCACTGAGCCTCCAGAGGCATGGGCCTGGGGCTTTGGGTTTTCTCAGATGCCTTTTGATAGCATCCTAGAACGTCAGAGGTCTTACAGACCATCTAATTTAGCACTCTCATTTTCAGAAGAGAAAGGTGAGGCCAAGAGGGGGGGAAACAACCTGCCCAGGGTCACGCAGCAAGTTAATGAGTCTAGACCATGGGCCTCCTGACTCCCAGCCCTGCTCTTCTCTCAATCACAATACTTGTCTTTGTGTCCCATATAAGTATGCCTGTATGGTCCTCTGAGATGGTGAGCTCCCTGGCAGCAAGAGCCACATATGCTTAGGTCTCTTGTGTCAGTGTGGCAAGGAGACATAGTAGGTGCTTAATAAATGCTTATTGACTGAGATGGGAAGGGATCTCATTTGCATGGATTTATCTGTCAGCTGGTGATCTCTGCAAGGGCCGAGCAGAGACCACAATGTTTATGTCCTTCTGTCTGTCCGTCCAAGATAGGCAGGGAACCTGAATCCATAGCTCTGTCTGTCTGACTCAGTGGGCTCCCTGAGGGCAAGGGCTGTGACTATGGAGTTCTCTCTGTCTGAGATGAGCAGGCAACATGTCAGCATGGCTCTCTCCAGTGGTGCCCAGCCTGGCACCTCAGTCTAAGGTATCCTGATGATGTTGGTATGAATGCCCCAACTTCTTGGGTGCATAAAAGAGAGCCTGTGAGGAAGCAGGGTGATGTTACCCGATGCTGAGGCAATCCTTCAGGTAGAGAAAAAAAATTAGATACAAGTTGTCACATTAAATAAAGAAGCCACTATGATCATGCAGGCCATTGATCCCATTATCACATGGGCCCCAGGAATCCAGTGCTCCCCTGATGACAGCTTTGGAGTGGAATGGAAAAGATTTTATTGGTGTAGACAGTTCCAAGTGTGGAGATCCCTCTACTGATGCAGAGAGGGAACTCATCTGTAAGTTACAGCCTCGGAGGGTTGTCTGAAGGCACTGAGAGGTGAAGGAAGATGTGCCCACAGATAGTACATGTCAGAGGCAGCATTTAAATCTAGGGCTCTTGGACTTCAGGGCCAGCCCTTTATCTACTATGCCACAGTGCCTCTCAAATAATATTAGATCCCATTTCTATAAGTGAACGCTATTCCCATTTCCACAGTGCTTCACAGTTTATGAAATGTTTTCTTCACAACTTTATGAGGCAGGCTGTGGAAATATTCTTATCCCCATTTTACATAAGAGCCTTAGAGACAGGAAATGATGTGCCCCAAATATCTTGGCTAGTGAGTATCAGAGCCAGGTTTCCAACCCAAGTCCTTGTACACAATGCAAGCTGGGAGTTCTGCATTAATTCTGCCACCAGCTCCTTGTGAAACCAGGCACGTAGCTATCAAAGTTTCCTTGGCTGCAAATAGGGGGCTTAGAATCTTTGGGATGTTGGGAAGCTGAAATGATATAAGAGATGCGAGAGGGCTTGAGGAAGTTACAAGTAGCCTGTAGATGTCGGGGATCATTACTATGGTATATCTTGCTTGTTTTTGTATCCCCAGCACTTAGCACAATGCCTTACACACTGGTGTTATTGTTGAGTTGTGTATGACTCTTCTTGACCCCATTTGGGGTTTTCTTGTTAAAGATACTGGGGTGGTGTGCCATTTCCTTCTCCAGCACATTTTACAGATGAGGAAACCGAGGCAAACAAGGTTTGCCCAGGGTCATATAGCTAGTAAGTGTCTGAGGCCAGACTTGAACTCGGGAAGATGAGTCTTCCTGACTTGGTCCAGCACTTTATGCACTGCACCACCTAGCTGCCCTAAGTCAGTGCACACAGTCAATGCTTATTCAATGCTCTTTCTTTTCTTTTCCTTTCTTTCTTTCTTTCTTTCTTTCTTTCTTTCTTTCTTTCTTTCTTTCTTTCTTTCTTTCTTTCTTTCTTTCTTTCTTTCTTTCTTTCTTTCTTTCTTTCTTTCTTTCTTTCTTTCTTTCTTTCTTTCATTCTATCTATCTTTACTGGAAATGCAGGGTCTCAAAAGTGCCCAGTAAATGTTCTTTGTGCTCAGCAAATACCAAATGGATATCTATGCAATTTGAATTTTTTTACTTGTAGCACTGCATTAAAGTTTTCCCTTGTTCACAGGACACTCACCTTCATGGCTCTGATGAACAGTTCTCGAAATGTCTTCATGGTGCTGAAGGTGTCCTCCAGGGAGAGCTTGTGGGCATCCTCACAGAGGTAGTCAGCCAGCTCCACCTTCTTCCTCTCAATGACCTTAAACTCTTCCTCTAACTCCCTGGAGGCTGAGATGCTATCCTGGGGAGAGTCATTCATTCACAGTCCAGCTGTGTCTGAGGACCCCTTCAGACACCCCACACATGAATCGCAGAACCTCTGCAGGCCCAGGTCTGCTTCCTTTGTCCCTCCCACACTGTGAATTCCCTTGGGCAAGGCCCAGGTCTGCTTGCTCTGCTGTTTCCCGAACAGCGGAGCTGAGCATTGACTTGGTCACACGGGAGAATGGAAGCATTAGTGGGTGGAATTCAGGAAAGACTTGCCAAATCGCTTGAGTGCTTTAGCACCCAGGGCACTAGACTTTCCCTCTCCTTTTTATGTCTTTCTCTGCCTTTATGTTTATCTGTCTCCCCACCTTCCCTCTTCCCAGTTTCCATCCATCTCTGGTCTACTTCGAAAGCTACTCCCCAATAAAACACATACTGGCCTGTGCCTCCTTTTGACTGTACCCAGCCCCCGAGAGTTTACACCCACCTCCCTGATTTGGCCTAAAGCTTCAGCTGGTGGTCACTTGCCTGGAGGGGCTTTGCGTACTGCTCCTGAACCTCGGGAATCCCTGAAGATACCTTCTGCTCCATCTCCAGCAACTGCTTCAGGTTAGTGCTGGCTTCCGAGTGGATGACATCGATATTGATCCTAAGAGTTAGTGAAGGGGAGGGGTGGAAGAAGGACCTCATTGTGAGACCACAGGTCAGGGATCACCTGGTGTAAAAACTGGAAAGGCCTATTTCCTCTCTCCTGATGATATCTGTTCTCCCCTCCCCTCCCCCATATTACAGATGAAGAAACTGAGGACCAGAGAGGGCAGTGATAACAATCAAAATGTAACAGCTAGAGATCAATAATTATACCACAATTTCCCCCATACTGTCAATTGTATGGATGGGAAAATGGGCCTATTTCGAGAATAATGTGTGTGTGGTTTTTTTTTTTTTGCCTTTTTTTTTTTGGTAAGGCAATCAGGGTTAAGTGACTTGCCCAGGTCACACAGGTAGTAAATATCAAGTGTCTGAGACTGGATTTGAACTCAGGTTCAAGGCTGGAGCTCTATCTACTGCGCCACCTAGCTGCCCCATAACGTGTATTTGAAAGCAGAATATGGCACAGAATGTCAGCTGGAAAGGAATTCTGGAGGATATTTAGTTTAATGCATTCAGTTTTTAGAGAGGAGAAAACTGAAGCCCCCTCCAAAACAAGGGACTTGCCCAATGAAAGCCACACAGTCAGTCATAGGCAGTGCCAGGATTAGAACCCAGGTCTCCTGACTCCCACTATAAGGATTTTTCTAATGGTTGCATGCTCTCCCAGATGTAAAGGATTCTAATTCCATTAAAGCCATTTCCCAAGGTCTTATGGGGAAATTGTTCATTTACGATCCAAATGTAGGATCAGTAAATGAGTGAAAATGCTTTTCTTTTGGCTGATACCAAGAGGGCCAGGTCCAACCATGCTCTTCTCCTCTTGGGCATGGGAGCCATAGCAATGATGAGGGAAGTTTCTTACCCTGCTGCCCGGGAGATGTGCTCTAGGTCACTGGGGAGCTGCAGGAGGTCAGGGTGATTTTTTTCCACTTCCTGAAAAAGAAGGAACATTTCAGCATCAATAAAGGTGAGGACAGTGTCTTATCTACAGCAGAAATCTTCCCCAGCACCCACTACAGTGCTCTACATATAACAGGCACTTAATAAATATTTTTTGAATTGCATTTTAGCCAAAGCATTCTTTCCTTTAATGCCTCCAAACCCCAGCTCCAATCTGAGTAGATTGGCCACTAAAGAGAGAGCCACTGTATTCCCTGAGCCTGTCTGATCTGGACATGAGCCACCTCTCATGGCTCTTCACCCCTAGTGTGAACCAGATATCCACTCATTTGTAGAAAAAAATTATTTTTAGCAACATTGCCTTGCACCATTTTTCTCACAATAGCCCTAGCCCCCTGTTCATCTGAGGCACCCCCCCCCCACCCTTAGCCTATTTGTGGAGTGGGTCCATCTGGATGTCTGTTAACTGTGGCCAGTCTGTCTACCCGATCTTCCCAGGGTATATAGTCAGCTCAGCTTGTTTCAGCTCTGAGCTCCAGGAAGGGCAGAGACTGGGCCATGGAATTCAGAGGACACTCCTTACATCGCTAGCACTGGTGACTGCTTACGAATGTTAGAGCTGGAAGGGACGGACGCTGGGGACCACTTAGTCCAACCTCCGTGCTTTATGCCCCAAGGGGAGGAGAGCCTTTCTCAAGGTCAGAACCAGTGAAGTGCCAAGTCACTGACTCACCGAGGGCAAGTCTGGGCTTTTAATTCCCCATCTCTAAAGTGGGGATCTTCAAAAAAAAAACCAAAACATTGATGCTTTTTGTCTTTGCATCAGATGAAACTCTTCTTGTGACATTGTGGGGAAAACGAAAGAAAACCATGCCGTATTGTGACCATCAATGTGCGCAATAGCCTGTCCTGGTCCTGAGGACCTGTAAGGTCTCTTCCCCCTCTAACATGCTCCAATGCTGTGAAGTGAGTTTCCAGAAGCTGAGAAGTTAGGACACTGGCAGGAAGACAGCAAAGAGAATAGAGAAGCCTGACAGCGGAGGCTTTATGCTCTTATGCTTCAACTTTTGTAGTAGGACAGTGTGGCCCTGTGGGTAGAGCTCTGTCCTGAAAGTCCAGAGAACTAGAGTCAAGCCCTGCCTCTGATACATACTGGCTGTATGACCTTGGGTAAGTCATTTAACTTCTCAGCATTCTAGGCAACTCTCTCAGACCAGAGAAAGTGCCAGTCTACTTCGTTTGGTTTTTCTTTTTGGCTCTTTGGTGAGGCAATCAGGATTAAGTGACTTGCCTAGGGTCACACAGCCAGTGAGTATTATGTGTCTGAGGCTGCATTTGAACTCAGGTCCTCCTGACTCCAGGGCCGGTGCTCTATCCACTGCGCCACCTAGCTCCCCCGCCAGTCTACTTTGGCTGAGGAGCTAGTCCCCTCTCAGGAGCTCCCTACATCAACCAAATCACAAGTCTGATAAAAAACAACAACAAAAAAACAACCTTTTAATGGAGTAGCAGTTGTGAATGTGGAGAATTAAGCTCCCGCCAGGGAATGTTTGGCAAAGGCCTCCAGGTTCCCTACCTCCAAGATGTGATGTAGCAGGGTCACACGGCTCTGGTTGGCCTTGGTTTCTGTGAGTTTGAGCAGGGTACTGATCTTAAAACCATCAGCATCTCCTGTGTGACTCCCCTGGAAGAGATCAGAAAAACCGTCAGTAAGGCTCCCATAGACAGGGAGGAGGCAGGACAGTCCCTGTGGTCTGTAGTGGGCTGGCGGGCAACTTACATAGTTGAGGAAGTTTCCAATTTTGAGAATCAGTTGGCAGAAAACTGGCAGACGCTGACTGGTGAGGAGACCTGTGGAGCAAGGGATGTTTTTAATGATTCAGTTCTGTGAACAAATCTAGTTTCCAGGTGCCCAAAAAAGCCACCAGGGGCTCTGCCGGGGACTCCGAAGGATGGGTTAGGGGACAGCGTAGCTATCCTCATGGGTCAGGGACGTTCCCAAACATGATTAATATCCTTTAATACCCTTTTACTGGTCTGTCGTCAGGAGTTTAACTAAACACTTGTAGAACTGGCTGATATTCCTCCATGAAGCAATTCATAGAATCACAGTACATAGAATTGGGGATGGATTTCAAGATCACTTAATTTTATGGATGTCAGAAACTCAGGGTCAGAGGGCCTGAGTGATATGACCAGGAAGTAGCAGGCCTGGAGTCAGGAAGACTTGAGTTCAAAAGTAGCTTCAGACCCTGGGCAAGTCACTTAACCTCTGTTTGCCTCAGTTCCTCATCTGTAAAATGGAGATACAATGGAGAAGGAAATGGCAAACCACTCCAGTATCTTTGCCAAGAAAATCGCATGGACAAAAGTCCATGGGGTCACAGAAAGTTGGAAATGACTGAACAACGGGAAGCAGATATTAAACTGATCTTTCCTTCCTTCCCTCCTTCTGCCCTTCCCTCCATCCGTCCTTTCTTCCTTCCTTCCTTCCTTTCTTTTTCTTTCTTTCTCCCTTTCTTTCTTTCTTTCTTTCTTTCTTTTTCTTTCTTTCTTTCTCTTCTTTCTTTCTTTCTTTCTTTCTTTCTTTCTTTCTTTCTTTCTTTCTTTCTTTCTTTCTTTCTTTCTTTTTCTTTCTCTCTTTCTTCCTGTCTTTTGTAAGAATTGAAAAGAGGTCTTGTGAATTCAAAACCAGTGTTTTTTCACTGCTGCATCAAAAAGAGAAAGAAAGAAAGAAAGTCCAGACTCTACCATTGAGGGGTTAGTGTGCTAGTTCACATCTCTTCCTGGGGTGGGCCTGTGTGGGATATGGGATGTTATGTTCTCTCATCTGCCCTCAGAATGCTCATTTTAAATCTTGCCACTCCCTGTGTAACCTTGGACAAATCCCTTAATCTCCCTGGGCCTCAGTTTGCCCATCTGTAAGACAAGGGGGCTGGACTTGAAGCCCTGTGAAGTTCCTCTTGGTTTTCAATCTACGGTACTACGGGAGAAGGAAAATGGGGGACAGACTCCAGTTTTAGCTCCTGAGTTTTAGTAACCACAACTATTACATTTCTTGATCTATTTCCTTACAGATTTTACTCGTGTCCTCTCTCTGTTTCCATTTTTCAGACTGAAGAAGTGATAGCATTTGAGCCCATATCCATACAGTTTTGGGGTCTACCCATGAGTCCCACCCTGTGAGGCCCCCATGGCTCCACTTACTCTCACAGGCCCTGCGGATGACCTCAGCTTTGGGTCGGATCATGTCCAGTATGATGACCGTCTCTTCACAGAGCAGCATGCACTCAATCCGCAGCTGGTAGCTAAAATGGGGAATTAGTACAGATATAGGTCACAGCTCCTATATGGAAATATAGGTAATAGGATATATGGAATATATGATGTATGTGGAATATATGGAATAAATATGGAAATAGGTACTTGGTTCCCCATAATGGGCTCAATTCCACTGGGAGCCCCAGATTCTCAGAGCTGGAAAAGACCTCAGAGGTTCTGTAGTCCAATCCATACTTGAACAAGAACCCCTATGACTTCCCTAATATGTGGTCATTCAGCCTCCTCTTAAAGACCTCTAGTGATGGGGAGCTCATAATTTTCTAAGAGAGATCGTTCTACTTTATGACACTTAAAAAGTTTTTTCTTTACACTGAGCCAAAATCATCCTTTCTGCAACTTTCTCTCTGTTCTCCCTTTTCTGTTGCTTTGGATTTTCCCCTCTGGGGCCAAGAAAAACAAATCTAACCCTTTTTTCCAAATGATAGCCTTTGAATATGTTAAGATAGAGAGAATATCACTCCCAAATCATTTCTTCTCCTGTTTCCCCTTTCCCCTTGGGATGCACTCACCCCCTACCGAGGCTGTGTCCTGATACTTACTATGTATCAGGTAGATTTCCAGTCTTTTTGACTATGCTTTGTACTCCTTTGATAGGAGGAAGATATAAGTGAACAAAAGTATTTTGAAGTACTCCCCTGTTCTTTCCCATTGCTCCCCCAGTGTTATTAGAAGACATTCAGATTGGCTAAGAGTGAGACCAGGATTAGGAGAATGGACCAATGAGCTTAGTCCAGACAATATTTAATAGGTGGATGAATTTCATATTTAGCTAGGGATGAGACCATTCTAGTCTGGGACCATGAAGGGAACAGATGATCCCAGGCCAAGAGAGAATCTGGACTTGTCTAGAAAACTTTAATGATTAGACTAGAAATCACAATGCCATTTAGTCTCAGGCTAGTGAATTTTATTGTATATACACATCTAATGACTTTCCCCTGGTGTGTTATTTCTGAATTTGCATGTTATTTTGCCCTGTATGAACAAGATCCGGAAAAGGTACTTGTAATGTCTAGAATATGCGGAATTGAGGAGGGAGGAAAAAGGGAGAAGCAGGGAGGGACAGGAAGAGGCGTCCAAAGGTGGATGCAGTAATATGTCAAAGGAGAAGCTAGAACTTGGATGCTACTAATTTCAGAGCCTGCAGGACCAAGCTAGCTCAGAGGCCAGAAAGGCCAAGGGGTTGGGCCCTTTGATGAGGGATCAAGGAAGGTTTAGAAAGTAGTGAAAGGCTGTGGCTGAGGTCCTCCGGACCAGCTCTGAGAAGAGGCAATGGTACTCTAGGAAGTTGACCGTGGGGTCAGCAAGTCCTAGGGCCAACCTAGGCCCAAGCCTGTTTGGCTTTGACTAATTTGTTAACTAGATGTACTCCACATGATCATAGAATCTTAGAGTGTCAGAGCTGGAAGAGACCTGATAACAAAGAACTCAGAATGTCAGAGTTGGAAGGGCCATTACAGACCATTATGGAAGAAGATGTGGAGGCTCAGAAAGGAAAGGTATCTTGGTCAAGGTCCCAGAGCAAAGGAGCAAAGGAACTAAAACCCAGGTTCTTCTACCTATCTGTCTGTCTAGGGTGCTGTACAATGCACCACGAAGCAGGAGATGATGGGAAGGTCCAGAATCCCTCAGCATCAATGCCTGATGGCTAAACCTATGTAAGTCTTAGGACTATAGATCTGGAGTTATAAGGGACTTTAGAAATGGCTCTAACTTAATATAACAACGATGTTCTTGGAAAGAAGAATACAAAACATTTTTTAAAACAAATCAAATTTTAAACATGATAAGAAAAGTGTTATTTTGAAGCCTGTGGCAAATTTCCTTCCTTTATTTATCTGCTTTGTAAATTTGGATTTTCCCACTGCTTTTTCTTAAATAAGTTTACCATGTATACAAGACTGTGATTAAAAGAGTAATTAATGTTTTCCCGACCAGGGTCATGAGCCACGTCCCTCTCCTCTCTGGGTTTCATGTCACTGTTCCCTCTTGGTTTTCCTACCTCTCTTTGCCTCCTCTGAAGGATCATCATCTGTGTCCCACCCTGGAAGCGTGGGTGGCTCTCAAGGCTCTGTCCTGGGCCCTCTTCTCTTCTCCCTCTGTACACACCCTCTAAGGGATCTCTTCCATTCTCAAAGATTTGTTGTTATCTCTAGGAAGATGACTCCCAGTTGTTTAGCTACCTAGAAGACCAAACCCACTAGATGGGCTGTGGGCACTTTAAAGGCCACTTGTCCTATGGAGAACTCATTGTCATCTTTCCTCCTCAGCCCACCTTCCCCGCTTTCCTAACTTTCCTCTTTGTGTGGAGGCCACCTTGGTCAGGCAGGTTTCAAAACCTCAGTCATCCTTGACTCTTCACCCTCCCTCACTTCCCGTGCAGAATCAATGGCCAAATCTTGCTTATTTTTAACTCCCCAACATTTCTCTCCTGCATATACCCATCCAGACACCACCCAATTCAAGGCTAGCCTCCTGATTGTTCTTCCTGCCTTGAGTCTCCAATCCATCCTTCACACAGCTGCCAAAGTGACATATTCCTAAAGCACAGCTCTGACCATGTCACCCCCTTGCTCAGAAGCTCCAGTAGCTTCCAGTTACCCCTAGGATACTGACTCCTCTGGTCAGCATTTAAAGCCCTTCACCGACTGGCTCTAGCCCATTTCTCTAGGCTTATTGCATGTTACTCTCTTTCCACACACTGCTTATGTTTCAGCCAAATGGCACTCTCTCATTTATAGGTCCCAGCATACAACATTCCATCTTTGCAGAATTAGTCCTTCATGTCTAGAATGCATGCCTTCCTCTACTCTGACTCTTAGAATCTCTAGCTCTCTCTTAAGCTCCCTCTGAATACCACCCTTCTATGGGAGGGCCTTTGCTGATCATACCTGCCTACCTACCAGAACATGTCTGAAGTTATTCAGAAACTTCCACATATATATTTTGTATGTATTTTTAGAATGTACTGAGTACAGAGCTTCTATATCTTTCTCTTGCCGGCACCCCTGACACAGAATGGGTGCTTAATAAATGCTGGTTGGTCTCCATTATAAATCTCCCTCATTCTGGGGAGTTAAGACCCACGAGGCTCAGTGCTACTGTGTTGTTAGAAGGACAAGCTTATAGAAGGAAAGGGCATGGCTCTGTGCTGTGGAGCACTTACCTGGGAACATTGAGGAGGAGGAGATAGAACTGGTCAGCACTGGCTAACTTGGCTTTCTCCTCTTGGAATGATTTCAGATTTTCTATCTGGTAAACACAGAAACCACAAAGGGATGAGGGCTCCTCACCCTAGGAAGACTCGGGCCCTGGTAGCCCAAAGTACTGGCAGCAGTTCCTCCTCTACGTCCCCACAAGCATTCCTGTACTTCAAGCCCTGTGTGTTCCAGGCAGTGTCCTCTGACTCCTCCCTACCCTTGCTGTGACTCCTACAGTTCTGGCTAAATAGCATACCCCGGTTCTGGATCACATTTTGCCCCCTTTTAATTTAATGTGTTACGTGTGTGCGTGTGTGTGTGTGTGTGTGTGTGTGTGTGTGTGTGTGATTTCCCTCTTAGATTGTATACTTCTTGAGGGCAAGGCTTTTTCTTTGTCTCCTCCAGACCATGCAATCTCAGTTCTTGGCTAGGATCTTTTCTTTCTCATTTGTCCCCATTGTGTGGACAAGCATAGGACTGAACAAATAGAGACTCTGAGAATGTTACTGGGCATACTGGGCATCTTCTTATTGAAAAGATAAAGTCAGGGCAGCTAGGTGGCATAGTGGATAGAGCTCCAACCTTGGAGTGAGGAGGATCTGAGTTCAAATCCAGCCTCAGACACTTGACACTTACTAGCTGTATGACCCTGGGCAAGTCACTTAACCCTCGATTGCCTCACCCCCCCAAAAAAAAGATAAAGTCAAGAATCCATTTCGCCAGCACAACTTACTTCATGCTTCTCGGGGAGCAGTTTGAGGAGCTGCTTCAGAACTTCAACATCAAACCTGGTCCTGTCCCCTCTCCGGATCATGTCTGTGATCTCCTCATTGGAGCTGTAGAAAGAGCAGTTAGGTGTGAGCTCAACACTCCACCCAACAGAGCCAAGACTGGCCCCACATGGGCCTCACTACTAAAGAAGTAATCAAGGGCAGAAAATATCTCACAGTCACAGAGAGATAGGCATAGCCTCTAAGTCGGAGGAGACCTCAGAATCCATCTGGGCCTAGAGTTGACTAGTTCAACCACAGATTATCCTCTCCCCTTGAATCCCTTGCTCCCCTGTCCTGTTGCCCCTCAAACCCTGTCTACCAAATGGGTTCCTGCACCACTGCTCCTACCTCTCCCGCTCCCTTATCATTATACACTGCTATCCTGGGAAGTAATTTGGAATTGTGCCCCCAAACTTACTAAAGGTTGCACACCCTTTGATGCAGCTATGCCCCAATTAGGCTTATACCCTGAAGAGATCAAAGAAAAGACCTACAGGTGCACAAATTTTTATAGTATCGTGTGTGTGTGTGTGTGTGTGTGGTGTGTGTGTGTGTGTGTGTGTGTGTGTGTGCGTGTGGTGGCAAAGAATTGGAAACTAAGGGGATTCCTATCAATTGGGGAATGGCTCAATAAATTATGGCACATATAACTGTGCTATAAGAAATAATGAAGGGGATGATTTCAGAGACACTTGGGAACCCTTATATGAATTTATACAGAATGAAGTGAGTAGAACCAGGAGAACAATTTATAGAATAACAACAAGACTTTGAAAGTCTTAAGAATTCTAATCTCTACAATAACCAATCAGATTTGAGAGGACCCACGATGAAACATGCTACCCATATCCTAAAAGAGAGGTGAATAGATTGAGACATATATTTTGTGGATGTTGCCAAAGTGGGATTTTGTTTTGCTTGACTATGTATATTTATTACAAGGATTTTGCTTTTCTTTTCTTTTTTTAAGTTGGAGGGGAGAATGAGGAGAGAAAAGTTTTTTGGTCATTGGAAAAAATAAATTAAATTTTTTAAAAAAACATTGTATGGTACTAGAGGAAGTTGCAGAACTGCATCTCTTTCCTCTCAAAAGATGTCCTTCATATTTAACTGAGAAAACTGAGGCCATCTGCTATGAACTCTCTCTTCTTCCCTACTCTCCTCCTGAAAACTCATCAGTGATACTCCCCATTTTCTCTTCCTTAGATCTAGTCTCTAAGAAAGAGATCAAAGGCTCATAGGATCATAGATTCAGAGTTGGAAAGGATCTTAGAGTTGATTCAATCCAATGCTCCTTATTTTACAGTTGAAGAAACTGAGGCAGATAGAGATTAAGTGACTTCCCCATGGTCACACAACTAGTAAGTATCTGGATTGAATTCATCTCTAGTGTTCTGTCCACTGAACCACCTACCCTCCTGTCTTCCTCCAGGAGTTTGCCTTTTGGGTCCTTCAAATTCTCATTCATTTTCTCTTGCTCCTCTCTCTTTCTCTCATCTAATTCTTCCTCTCACCCCATCCTCTAAGCATCATTTTATCCACTAGGTCCTTCCCCACTGGCTACAAATAGACTTGTACCTGGAAATATTAATCAGGGATTCTGTAGGAGAGACTCCTGTTCCAGAATTGTATTTTAATAGGTAGGTGTTTCAGGAAGACAAAGTTCTTCAAAGGAAAAGGAAATTGAAGGCTAATGGTGGCATTTCAGGTGCTGTGATAGGCCTATGGTGGAGACTTCCCACATGGGTGCTTTTGGTGACAAAATCTGGCCTGCCCTTGACTTCAACACTTACCATTTGAATTGCTTCAGAAAAATGTTCAGATTGAGACTTTTTTTGGCATCTAGAAACGTAATCTGGGAAAAGAAAACAAAGTCCAACCTTCAAAGGAGGGGCTCACATGAGAAACAGCATGAGGCAGTAGAAAAAGCCCTGGGCTGCATGATCATAGGCAAAGTCCCTTCCCTATTCTGTGCCTCAGTTTTCTGATCTATAAAACAGGAATAATAACCTTGTTCTATCTGCAGGGCTATTGAAAAAAAAACAAATCACTCTGTAAACTCTGAAGTACTTTCCAAATGGAAGCTATCCTACCCCAGGGAGTATATCCTTGACCAGTGCCCCCAGCCAAGTACCTCTTTGGGCTCCTTCTTGGCTGGGGCTGCCTCCTTCTCCTTGGGCTTCGTGGTTGGGAAACAGAAGAGCTGTTCGATGCTGGTATAATCAGGCTGCATGTCCTCGCTGCTCAGGCTACTCATTGATGCCCACATTGAGTGACTGTCTGGAAGATATGAGAGGAAGCAGAGTGTCGCTTGAAATAGTAGTGTGAGCAGAAAAGACAGCATGAAACATACCTTCCTCCCCTTGGCAGAAAGATGATGGAACAGAGGTACAGATCCATTCTCAGGCATGGTGAGTGTGTTGATATGTTTTGTCTGACTATACTTATTTGTTATAAGGAAACATTTCTACTTGTGGGGGACAAGAAGGGTGGGAGGATGGATTAATGAGGAAAAAGAAAAAAAAGTTATATTCACAGAAATTAATTTAACTCAATCATCATTAAAAAAATATAAATGGTTGCACTGGATACTCAATATTCAATCAATAAATCAATCCATAAACATTTATTAAGCACCTGCTATGTATCAGGTACTGTGCTAAGTGCTGGAGATACAAAAAGAGGCAAAAGACAGTCCTTGCCCTCAAGGAGCTTACAATCTAATGGAGGAGACGACATGCAAACAATTCTATACAAAGCAAGCTATATACAGGACAAATAGAAAATAAAAAGACAGTAAGCATTGGAAAACAGGAAGGGCTAGGGAAGGCTTTAAGTTATGAATAAAGCATTTGATGAAATGAAAGAAACAGTCCTACTTAACATGGGTGGGAATAACATATGCACCATGGAATTTCAGAGATAAAAGTGTCTGTCTAGTCCAAATCATAAATTTAAAAGGACACCATCAATATACCTAACAAGTGAGCATCCAGATTCTATTTGAAGACCTCTTCTAGTGAGATGGAACCAAATGTATGCTGGAGCCAGCTTGAAACAGCTGAGAGAGTTGGTAAATTTCCAGTGAGCATTTGTGACTTGGAATTTTCCAAACTCTACAGATCAAGGCTTGATTTATTGTTTTGTGGTCTGTCTAGACCAGAGGTTCTGAAAGTGGGAGATACTACCCCCTGGGGATGCTGGAACGATCCAGGGGGATGGTAGCAGCCTCTGGTGCAATTGTGGGGCATTGAATAAAAATAATGGGGCAGTGGAAGCATAATGAAAGAAGAGAAGATGATAAAATTTTGAAAACCATTTGCACATGTTTCATCTGTTGTGTAACAGAGTTATAGTCAGAGTGATTGCATTATTTTCCAAATAAACACACAAAATGCAAGTTATAACCAATCAGTGGTCAAGTCCTCTGACAAGTCTTAACAAGCAAGTGCTGGCAGGTGAGCGTGTCCTACGCTGTTGGGAGGTCCAGGACACATCATGCATCAGCAGGAATATGTGTGTGTTCGTGATTTTTTTTTTACAATACGATGCTATACGGTTACATGAGGCAATATTGTGTCATCAAAATTTCAATGCAGGAAAACCCCCACAAATTTACAATAAGTTATTAAATTTAAGATGCATCATTTTTTTAAAAAAATTATATTTTTTGGAAATGGTGCAAATTTCAAAAAAACTGTTAAAGGGTTAAACAAAGCAGATTTCCAGAGGGGCGCTGAGTAATTTTTGTTTTTGAAAAGGGAGCAGTGGGCCAAATAGGTTTGGGAACCTCTGGTCTAGACTTAAGAAAATGATGGAGAAAATGTTAACAATGCAGATTAAACTTAAAAGTGTGTCCTATATACATCTCCGCCTCTCCTTAGAGAGTTGGTAATTAAACATTTACCAGTATACCCCTGGAAGCAGCAGGTTTCCAGTGCCTTCTCTCTGTTAATTAGTTGCTATTTACTCTGCACATAGTTTGTTTGTATATATTTGTTTTCCTGTTGTCTCCCCCATTAGACTGTAAACTCCTTCAGGGCAGGGACTGTGTCTTTTGCTTCTTTTTGTATTCCCAATGCTTAGCACAGTGCCTGGTACGTAATAAGTACTTAATTCTCCCTCTCTCCCTCCGTCCCTCTTTTCCTCCCTCCCTTCCTTCTTTCATTCATTAGCTCTTAACAAAAATCTAGCTCAGTAAGGTCTAAGGTTCCAAGCTGGATCCTTTACAGCAGTGATATAGAAAGGTGGGCTACTAACCAGTATATAAGGATCCCTGCAGACTGCATACTGACTTATCTGTTATATTATTTTTATTTATTTTGTTAAATGGTTTCCAATTACATTTTAATCAGGCCACACTCTGGGAGTATTGTGGGCTGCATGTTTGACAACTCTTTCACAGGGAAGTCTATCAGAATGAGTTGGCTGCCCCAGAAAACTGGCTCTGGAACCAGGTTAGGGGACCCCAAAATCACAACACATAGGTCCTGTCCCAAAGAATTTTACCCAAGCCTTCTTTCAGCCAAAGACAAGGTTCATTAAAGATTGGGTTCCCTGAGCTCTATATCTTGGGCTCTTAGTTTGCTCTGTTTAAGCTGAAGCAGAAAGAGAGGCCTCCAGAGAGCCCTAAAGGCCTGGGCAGGAAAGGTTGAGTTAGCAAAGAGTCAGAAAGTAAGAAAACCCTAGGTAAGACTGGCTCTAGCTGTCCTTTCAGCCTAGGGTCTCATGTCCTCACATGTGGTACTTAGTTATGGAGCTAAAATTTCTGGACTGACCTACCAGGGAACCTGTGACCAAGAGGGAGACCAGCTGACATCTCTGCAATGGAGGGGAGATATATGTTCCAAAGGGAATAGGACAGGGGTGGATGGATGGAGGAGTAAGCTGTGTGGATCTAGAGGCAGAAGGGCCTATGATGGAGGCTTCAGACAGGACAGCCATGAGAGCAATGCTCTGTCTGTGAAGGTGATATGGAATAACGGAGACAAAACTGGTTTTAGAGTGAACAGACATAACTCTAATGCTCAAACACTGTGTAACTGGCCAAGTCATTTCTTCTTCTCTGAGCTTGTTTCCTCTGTAAAGATTTGCACTGCTACCTCACTTTTCCAATGACTGAGGGGAAAACGGTGGCCTTGGGGAAGGCACCTGTTTCACCTACAATTCAGGACATTTTTGGTTGCTGGCCTGGGGAGTGTGGCTATGGGTACCTCCTAAAGAGGGTGAGAGGGAAATGACTCTGATACAGAAAATGCAAAAGCAGACAGGGCTTTAGGGCAAGTTTGGGATGTGAGAAAACAGGGCACATCAAATCAAATGGTCCAAATGGGAGGCCTGCTGATCCTGAAAAGCTGTTTTTACAGCCGTGTTAGTGATAAACAGAGGTCTGGCCTGGGAAACTGGAAAAGCTGATCCATTTTAGCTTGATCAAATGACTTGACAAGTGTAGGACTAACCAGTTTGAACCTGGAGGTCTTAAAAAATTCCCACTCTAATGACATTCCTCTAGTGTGTTATTGCAAAATCTCTTTTCTCTTGTCAATAAACCCTAGAAAATACATAATTGTGGCTTGGATTGTGTGGAAATGGGGTTTAAAGTGAAAGATGGAGAAGTTGCCAGATGATGCAACCAGTTATTATGGGAGTTTTGGGGGAAGGGGAAAAGGTTACTGGAGAATAGGACTGAATATCTTTAAGTCCAGGATACCAAGCAAGTAGGCTAAGGGGCCAAGAAAGTCAGGGAGTTTCAGGCCTGCCTTGGAATGATGTTCAGAAAAAGCTTTAAAAAAAAAAAAGGACGGAAAGGTAAAAATCCTAGGGTGGAAGGCAAAAGACCTCTAGATGAACTCAAAGGAAAAGTTGTCTCAGGGAATTGATGTGAGCCACTGAGGCAACCATCTGGAGAAGTCCCCTTAGTCAATCCAGTCTCAAAGAAAGGAAAAAACAGTAACTAACCTAACCTGCATGGGGTAGGGCCTTAGGAAAAGATAGCCTGGCCTACACAGCACAGACCTAGAAATACTGCTCCTGTCATAGATGCGATGTAACAGTTTCTACTAATTCTTTGCATGACCTACACTGATTACTAAGTACAGACATCTAAGAATATCATCTTTCTGTAACTTCTGATGGCAATGATCTGGTCCCAAATTGCTATCATAAAGTCTTCCATTTCTAGAAATGAATTCACATGATTTAGTCCTATTGTTCGCAGAGTTCATGCAGGTGTCACTTTTAGTGTTGAGCTTAAATTCTAGGGGTGCTGGGACCCCAAAATCATGAAATGTGGGTCCTGCCCAAAAGAATTTGACCCAAGTCTTCTTTCAGCCAAAGACAAGGTTTATTAAAGATGAACCATATAGGCCAGACTCTTAAGGAATCTGAACTGGCATGAGGAAGTCTCAGACCCTAAATGGTGGCCAGGATCGATCTTAAAAACAGCCAAATAGTTTGGGGTGACCAGAGGAGGGCCCGGGAGGAGGATCTTGAAGCTGGGGTAACTGGGGGAGGAGTTTAGGGAGGATCTTGAAGCTAAGGTGACTGGAGAAAGGGTCCTAGGAGAATCCTAATCCGAGTGTCCTGGAGGTTGAATGGGGCATCTAGGAATAGACAATGGAGAGCTAGGCTTAATTAGGGTAACAAAGAACTGGGAGATTGGGCCTAGAAAGGAAAGTCCAGTGGAGTGGATTATAGCCTCAGGCAACCACTTGAGACTTCTCTGACCAAGTAAGTGAGTTCAAGGAAAGTTTAAGGGTTTTCTGGGGCCCATAGACAAATGGTACCCAAATTCTTTTTTGGGTGAGGATCAAAGGTCTTGGCTTGGGCCTGTACCCCATCATTAGGGGCCTTTCAATTCCATTCTTGGATCTTAACCATGTCACAGGTGCCATCTTGAAGTAAACTACTTTCAGTTACATTCAACAAATTCAGTGGTAGGTACCTGTTATCAGCCTTTACTATTGTTTGGTCAAGAGATTTCTGTGGGTCCCAAAAGTATTTCTGAAGGCTTCTGACCTGGTTTTTATGTGCTCTAGGAGTGTCTGTCAGTCTTTTTCCTTTTTTTTTGGCAAGGGAGTATTAATCTTTCTATAGCTTCTTCAGAACAATGAACTTTGAGTTTCATTAATCTTGTATGGGGTTTCCACTTAGTATACTTGCCAGATCTCCTGTGTACAATTTTACTGTGGATTGAGAACAGGATTTGGAGGCAGAAAATCTGGAAAATCTTGTCCCTTGCAATTACTAGCTGTGTGATTAGGAGCAAACCACTTCTCTTTCCTGAGTTTTATTTCCTGATCTCTAAACACAACAAAACTTGCAGTACTTATCCCACAGGATTGTTATGAGGCTGTAATGAAATCGTTCACATCTCTGCAAACTTTTTCGTCTTGGCATACCTTAAGATGCTCTGTAAATGTCAACTAATAGTCACCCTAACAACAGTAATAAGTTGTGCACCATTAATATGATGAACCTCCTCAGTGGAAGTTGGTAAAGTTCTTTCCTAGTAATTCATGGGCCACTGAGAAGCCTTTATTTGGCTTTTATCTGGCCCTCCTGCTCTCTAGTTTTGCAGAGAATCAGTAATCATCTTCTCCAATGTAACCGTTCTCTTGCTCATTAGATATAGGCTTGCCCATAGCTACACAGCTAGTAACTGCTCAGAGTGGGATCTGAACCCAGACCTTCTTGATTCCAAATCCAATATCCAAATCCACTGGGTCCTATTACCACTCCCTACTACTATGAATTATGTAGCTTGGCCACATGTTGTGTGGCTGTTGTCCAAGAACCAGCCTTAGGGCAGAAAGGTCCATCTCCAAGGGTTGGCTTGAGAGGAGGAATTTTTTCAACCACAGTTAACTCATGAAGCCATCCGCTAAGCTAAGGGTTCTTAACCTGGGGTCCATGAACCTTTTTTTTTTTAAGTATTTTGCTAACTATTCCAATAATGAGTTTCCTTTGTAATCTTATGTATTTATTTTATGCATTTAAAAACATTATTCTGGAAAGGAATCCATAGGCTTCATCAGATTGCCAAAGGGACTCATGGAATAGAAAAGGTTATTAATCCCAGGACTAAAGGATGGTGGAGATCAGTGTTGGTGAAAGGAGGACTCATACTGATGAAAATGATGGATCCTTCAAGTGTTGAAGTAAGTGTTGTAAACCAAAAGGGCTCTTGGGTATATCCTTCCCTAGGGGAGGGTGATGTAAACCAGGGATGCAATCTAGGAAAGCAGGTGGAGCCTTGCAGAGATGTGGCTGGGATGATGGCCTGTTCTGCCTCCCAGCAGCTGGTGCGAAGACAACAGTGAAACTAAGGCCAAGGGGAAAGAGAAAGAAGGGGTTTTTGATCCCTACCCCCAACTTCTGCAGCTATGGGGGACCAGCTGAGGACAGATCAAATCATGCAGATGAAAAAAGAGGAAAAATTGTAGATGAGATGAATCTGGGTAGTATCCTTCCTCCCTGCCTGCTGCTCTGGCTGAGTCATAGGAGCAGAGGACTTGAGAGTCAGAAGAGCCCTAAAATGGGGAAACTGAGGCCCAGAGCAGAGAGAGGATTTGTCTAGGCCTTCTGACCCCAAATCCACTATTTTTTCCAATAGAGCACTGTACATCTTTGCAATATCTGGTTTCTCTCATGACTTGCTCTTCCACAAACTACTCCCTAGCTGCCCAGGAAGAAGTTGCCCTGATACTAGACATACCTCTTACCACATTGGAAGGCAGTTTCTGCCAGTTCAGCTTTTTCATCCTCAGAGTAGGAGGGTTCACTTTCCTGTGGTCTGGAACTCTTGCAAAACCCAGACCACGGTCCACCTGGGCCACCACTATTTCTTCAGTGCCATTCATTGGAGGGGGAGGGATGCCACCCAGGCCAGGCAGAGGCGGAGGGGGAGGGATGCCACCCAGGCCAGGCAGAGGCGGAGGGGGAGGGATGCCACCCAGGCCAGGCAGAGGGGGAGGGGGAGGAATGCCACCCAGGCCAGGCAGAGGGGGAGGAGGAGGAATAGTAGAGGAAATCCTTGCCATGCCAGGCAGAGGAGGAGGAGGGGGAGGAGGAGGAGCAGGAGGAGGGACACAGGTTTTACTGGACATAGGAGTGGCTGGAGGGGGGGCCCAGGCAAAGTTGGGCAGAGGTGGAGGGGGAGGCGGTGGGGGCATATCAAGGAGGGGGGTTACAGCTGCCACTGGAGAGGGGGGTGTGGCTCTGGGGTGGCAGAGGCTGTGGGCAGATGGATGGCTTTAACAGTCTCTATACTGCCATTGTCTGATGATGGCCCAGAGGCATCTTCCTTCAGGCTCTTCTTTGGTGATGGTTCCACTATGTCCAAGCTAACTTGGATACACTTATGGGCTGTCTTGACCTTGCTACAGATCTTGGGGCTCTGCTGAGGCCGCATCTTCATGGACAGGAGTCTCTCCACTATTTCTTCAATGCTGCTCTCTTGGACTGCAGGGAAGGGACAAAGATGGAATAAAATTAGGGAGATAAGTATGATGGGAGATGGGAGGGGGCAGAGAAATGGTAGAAAAGGAAAGAACAATGAGTGCCAGAAAGGGATGGACAGTCCCCACAAGAGCTGGACTGGGGTGGGGTGGGGGGCAAGTAAACCTTTTGACCTTTTGTAAACAGGAGATCAAAGAGGAATAAAGTTCCTTTTTTCTTTTTTACCTTAAAATATTTTTTTAATTAATTAATTAAAAAAATTTTTTTTGTTTTTTTTTGGGGGGGGCAGGCAAGGAGGTTAAGTGACTTGCCCAAGGTCACACAGCTAGTAAGTGTTATGCGTCTGAGGCCGGATTTGAACTCAGGTTCTCCTGAATCCAGGGCCAGTGCTCTATCCACTGTGCCACCTAGCTGCCCCTTAAGTTAATTTATTTATTTTTAGTTTTCAACATTCACTTCCAGAAGATTATGAGTTCCAAATTTTCTCTCCAACTCTCCCCTCACCCCACTCCAAGACAGTATGCATTCTGCATACCCCTTCCCCCAATCTGCCCTCACTTCTATCACTCCCCTTCTGTTATCCACTTCCCCTTCTACTTGAGGAATAAAGTTCTAAAGTCGACAGCCTAGAGAAGAAAAGACATATGTGGACATATAGGATCATAAATTTAAAGCCAGGAGGGATCATAAGAGAGTATTAGTTTAAACTCCCTCATTTTACAGATGAAGAAACCTGAAGTACAGAAGTAAAATGATTTGTCCAAGGTCACACAGTTAGGAAGTGACCGAGCTGGGCTTCTGACTCCAAATTCAGTACTCTTTCCACTAAATCATGTTTTAAAACCCTCCTCCCCTCACCCCCAATTATTATCTTCAAGTATGAAAAGACTGGCATAAAGATGGAATTAGATTTGTTCTACTTGTCCCAGAGATCAGAATTAGGGGGTGACCATGAACCTGGATTGGATACATTTTTCTAAAAAGACTTCTTAACTGATTAGCGCTATCCAGAGGTATAATGTATGGGTAGCCTGGGAGATAGTGAATCACTGGAGGGGTACAAGCAGCCAGTGACCCTGTCAGGGAGGCTGTAGAGGGGGCTCTTGATCTGCACGGGTAGGATTTGATAGGTAGGACTAGAAATTTCTGAAGCTTTCTTTTTTTCTCCCCCGAATTGGAGAGGTTGATTCCATTTAAATGAAGTAGAACCGAAGTCTAGAAATGGGCAGAGAGGCTAAGTGGTTAGCAGCTCAAAAGTGGAAAAATGGGATTTCATTGGAAAAAAAAAAAGCCCATCCTTCCTAGACTGGGGCAAAGCTAAGATCAAAGTCTCTAAGGCCACATAGAAGATGCAATTAGGGAAATCAAAGTGAACACTAATGGAGAATCATTGTGGCTCAGTAGGAGTATGGGAAATTAGTCAGAAGGGGTTTAAATCCCGACTTGACCACTTGCTACCCTTTTGCCTCTGGGCATATTCCTTCTTCTCCCTCTCTAGGCCTCCATTTCTTCTGTAAAATGATGGGTCAAGAAAGATTAAAGAAACAGGAAAAGGTCCCACATGTACCAAAATATTTATAGTGGCTCTCTATGGCGGCAAAAATGGAAACTAAGGGGCTGGCTATCTAACAATTGGGGAAGGTCTTAACAAAATATGAGATATGAATGTACTGGAATATTATGGCACCCTAAGAAGTGGGGGGACAAGAGAGGAAGAGCAACACGCATTTATTAAGTGCCTACTGGGTGCCAGGCACTGTGCTGTATACTTTTCAAATATCATCTCACTTGCCATGACAAAAGGGACCGTTTCAGAGGAACTGGGAAGAGACAGACTTGTATGAATTAAAGCAGAATAAAGTGAGCTGAAGCAGAACAATTTATCCAGGAAAAGAAGACCATCAAGATAAACAACTGCGAAAGATTCAAGAATACAGAACAATGCAGGGACCAACCACAATTCTAGCAGACAGAGCGTGGAGCCGCCTGCCTCCTGAGAGATGGGGGGCCTATTCAAGATACATATTTGCAGGAATTTGTTTTGCTTGACTGTGTGAGGGGTTTTTTTTCTTTTTTCCCAAAGGGTGGGAGAAAATAAATGCCTGTTAATTGACATAAATGGAACTTTAAAAAAACCAAGGGGCCTTCCAGCTCTAAAATCCTCCGATCCTGGCTGTGTGTCCTGCTTGCACATTCTCAGGGCCTCCCAAGCCTCTGTCAGCAGGGAGCTCCAGGGCAGAGGGTTTAACTTGCCCTGTGGCCCATGACTCTCCCCAGCTGGGAGCTCCTTAAGGCTCTTGATTTCAGGGGCCTGAGTCACCAGAAGGGAATGTTCTAGGATGGACACTTGGCTCCAAAAGGCTGGCCTGTGACCTTGGGTGAGTCCCTTCCCTTCTCTTAAACTCATTTTCCTCTGTAAAGTGAGCCGGTTGGACCAGACGATCCCTAAGAACCCATAAACTTTTATGTTCTTATCCACTGGTTCTGATTTCTGTTCCTACAGTGCCTGCTTAAACTCACATTTTTCTAGGGGCCTCATCTTGAAGGTCCTGGTCTTTTCCAGCTCTAAATCTTGTTATTTTAAGGCAGACTCATCCACTAAATCCTGGAGAACAGAACAAAGAGTCATCCTGCCTCACCTAGCAAGAACTGAATCTGGGGACTGATTCTCCCCAAGTTAAGATCATAAAGCAGGTCACTGCTTTATGGGAGTTTGAGGGTCCTGAAGGGCTGTCCTTCACCTGGTTTTCTGCCCCCATTCTCTTCCAAAGGGCTTATTTAAAGGCTAGACTGTAGTTGGCATAACATGGGACTGGTTTATGATCCTTATAAGCTGAGGTTCTGAATCTGAGAACTAGGAGATCAGGCTTGGAATCCTGGCTCTCTGGTTTACAAGGTAGGTGACTGTGGACAAGTCCTGCCTCTCTGAGCCTTGATTTCCCTTTCTATAGAATAAGGAATGTGAAATGGATCATATTCCTTTCAACTCTAAAAAAGTCTATGACTCAGTTCTATAGGTACTGAATGACCCAGTGAGACACATGGGACAAGGACTTTGTCACCTACTGGCTGTGACCTTGAACAAATTAGTTGTTTTTTCAAGGCCTTGGTTTTCTCATCTTTAAAATGAGGAGCTTGAACCCTAAAGTCTCTTTTGAGCTCTAATGTGTGGGCATGTACTCTGCCAGCCCCTTCATTCCAGACCTACTAAGTCTGTGGGGAAGGTCCAGGATGGCAATAAGGCAGGCTAGCCAGGGCAAGGGAGTTCTGCAAATATTCCCACCATGCCCCATTCTTTTTTTTTTTTGAAGGCAATTGGGATTAAGTGACTTGCCCAGGGTCACACGTTTGTAAGTGTCAAATGTTTGGTCTGAGGCCCGAATTGAACTCAGGTCCTCCTGACTCCACTGAGTCATCATGCCCCATTCTAAGAGTCAGTCTCATCACTCCCCCGATAACCTGCGCTCCCAGAGGGCAGGAACCATGTTTTCCTCACTTACACAGATCAGATTATATGTAAAGTTTTTGGCTCAGCCCAAAAAGCAAACTCCACAAGTACAGTGTGGAGGAGGCACAGAATACCTGTGAAAAAGAGCTGGAGGTTTTAGTGGACTGCAAGCTATAGGAGTCAACAGTATTCCAAACAGTAGATAGGAACTTAGGCTGTATTAAGTGAGGCAGTGTGTCCTGAATACAAAAGTCATCTTACTATCCTCCAGCTCTGGTCAGGGCACACATGGAGGACTGTGTTCAGCTAGGTGGTGCAGTGAATAGAGTGTTGGCCTGGAGTCAGGAAGACCAGAATTCAGATTTGACCTCAGACATTTGCTAGCTGTGTGACCCTGGGCAAATTACTTAACCTTGTTTGCCTCAGTTTCCTTATTTGGAAAATGAGTCAGAGAAGAAAATAGCAAACCACTCCAGTATCTCTGCCAAAAAAACACCAAAATGAAGAATCAGACGGGATTAAAAATGACTGAAAATCTCCCTCTCCCTCCCTTTCTCTCTCTGTCTCTGTCTCTGTCTCTCTCTCTCTGTTCAGTTCCTGTGCCATATCTTCCTATGCCCACAGGAGGGCAACGAGAGGATGAGGTGACTAGAGAACATGCCATGAGGGTCAGGTGAAGAAATCGAGGATGTTTAGCCTGGAGAATATGAGGGATGGGGTCATAATCACTGCTTCCAAGCACTAGTAAAAGGAGGACCGGACATGTTTTGCTTGATCCAAGAAAGCAGAAGTGAGTGGAAGTTGCCAGATGTCAGCTCAATCTGAGTAAAAAGTTACCATCAGAACCACCCTGTCTCCACAGCAGAATGGGTGACCTTAGGAAAATGTGATCGCTAGAGGACCAATTTGGGGGGATGCTGAAGATGGGACTCCTGTTCAGGTCTGGGTGAGGCTAGATGCCCTCTGAGCAGGCTTGGGGACTCCTGCAAGTTTGGGAACCAGGGGTGGGGGGTGAGGATGGCCATAGGAAAGGGTTAGGGCTGAGATCTCTCCTCTCCTTCCTTGGACTAAAATGAGTTAGAAGGGAGCTTAGAGATCAGTTTATTTCACCCCATTCTCTCAGCCTCTCCTGAGAGCTTTCCTTTTCCTCTCAGAAACATTACACTGTGTGCCTCAATATCTCCTAGAGACAGGCTAGAACCTCAAGGGAGTACTGTGGCTAGGCAGAGTGCTAGGTATGGGTGCTAAGAAGGAATAAGTACTGGGATAAATGGCTGGCTTTATAGGATATCAGAGCAGACAAAGAACGTCAAAGCTGGAATAGTATAATAGAGTCGGGTGGGGATATGGAATTGAGAAGATATTGGTGTTTGTGTCCCAGTTCTGCCTCTTGTCAGCCCTATGATTCTGGGAAAATCAACCCCACAATTACAGTTTCTTCAGTTATAAAATAGAGATAACATTTGTACTACGTACACCTCACAGAGTTGTTGTGAGGAAAGCACTTTCTAACCCTTAAACTGTAGATATGTGAGTTATTATTGCTATTATTTTTATTATCTTATCCAACCTTCTTATTTTACCAAAGAGGTAAGTGAATACCAGGAGGGCAGTGGCTTGCCCTGGGTCACAGAGAAAGTTAGTGCCAGAATGGGATTTAAGAATCTAGGTTTCTTCAAGACTTGACCTTGTGTAAGCACTAGGTCGCCTATCCAGTATGATGGGGGGGGGGGAGGTCATCAAAGTGGCCCCTGGCCCAAAGAGTTCTCTCCCACTTACCTGGAAAGGTGAATGAAACTCCACCATTAGCACCTCCTTTATAGAATCACAGAAGCTCAGGTCTTGGGAATGACCTTGGAAGTAATTTTTTCTATGGGTTCAGAATTGCCCTCTCAACCTGTTTGTTGTCCTGAGGGCAGTTTCCTAGTGTAGAGATTGCATTGCCAGTCATTTACACCTTAGTGTAGCTGCAATGATCAGATCTCTTCTGAAACAGGATTTAAAGCAGTAAGAATTTGAGTGGGAAGAGGGCTAGGCAAGGTTCGGAGCAGGCCCTTGGAAAGGGAGAAGGTGGGAGGGAGGCCACACTGTACAATGTTGTATGAGACAAAACCTGAGGATGGAGAAGGTAATCTGGGGTCAATCCTCACCATCACTGGCTAAGAGCACAGCTCTGTTCACCATGATCTCCAGGGCTTCCCACAGCAGCAAGCTCGAGTGGTGGGTGGGTTCCAGGTGCAGGAGACCTTGCAGGACAGAGAGGAGTTGGACTGAGATGGGGGAGCAGCTCACCTGGAAGCCAAGAGAAGGACCTGTGGTCAGAATCATCCCCAGTCCCCTTCTCATGATTCCTCCTCCCCACCTCCTCACGATGTGCCCCAGCCCGGGGCCAACCAGGCCTGTTCCTTAGGCCATGTCCAAGGGCTAATGGTTCAGAGGTTCGGATCACCCTGTTCTACCTTTGCCTCAGTGTCTCCCCAAGTCAAGCCCTGACCAAGGCTATAGAATCCTAGAATCTTAGAGCTGAAAGGGACCTCAGAAATCTCTTATCCAACCTGTCCCCTAAGAGCAGGCATGTCCTCTGTAATCCTGACAGGATCACCTAACCTCTGCTTAAACACTGATTGTGACAGGGAACTCATTACCTCACTAAATAGTCTATTTTATTGTTAGGCATCTGTAAATAGAAAAAAATTTCCCCTCATATTGAACTTAAATTTGTCTGCTTTTAATTTCCCCATCTCACTCCTAGGTCTGCCCCCTAGGACCAAGAAAAACAAATCTTTCTTCCAGTTGTCAGCCCTTCTGATCTGAAGGTCTTTCTTTGTATCCCCAGTACAGAGCCTGGGATATAGTATATGTTTATTAAACACTTATTGACTAATGGTGATGAACAGTGTGGTTCAGTAGAACACTTACTGCGAAAGAGTTGAATTTGATCACCAGACTGCCATTAACAAGCTGTGTGACCTTACCCAAGTCCCTTTTCCTCTCTAGTTTCTTCATGCATGAAATAAGTTTTTTGGGTTAAATAATCTTTAAGGCCTCTCTTGGCCCTAACATCCATCCTATGTTCTAAGATTCCTTCAATGAATCTTTCATCTCCCAAAGGCCTTCTTTTCCAGGCTCAAAGTCCCTAGCTGATCCTCTTATGTCCTAGTATTTATTTCTCTTCCTGTGTCAGTTCTCCTCTAAGATATACTCCACTTTGTCCAAGGCCTTCTTAAAATGTAGTGACCAGAACTGGTTACCATTTACACAATTTGCCCATTCTCTGGCTATGGTATGACCAGAGTAGCAGGCATTGAGGATATTATCTCCCTTATTCTGGACATTAAATTTGTACCAATTCACTCTTTTCCCACATTTCACCACCATCTCACTCAAAGGCCATTCCCAAGATTTAGAGCTGAAGGGACCTTCTAGATTATTTCATCCTGTCCTCTCTTCCCTTCCCTTCCCTTCCAGTTTTATAAGTGAGGTTATTGAAGCTCAGGGAAGCTGACTTGTCCAAAGTCACACAAACTCAGGGTTGGGATTTGAATACTGGTCTTCTAACTCTGCGATACCTGGGTGGTATAGTGGATAGAGTACCAAGCCTGAAGTCAGAAAGACTCATCTTCCTGAGTTCAAATCTAGCCTCAGACACTTACTAGCTATGTGACTCTGGGCAAATCACTTAACCCTGTTTGCCTCAGTTTCCTCATCTGTAAAGTAAGCTGGAGAAGGAAATGGCAAACTACTTCAGTATCTCTGCCAAGAAAACCCCAAATGGAGTCACGAAGAGTTGGATATGACTGAAAAATGACTGAACCTCTAATTCTATATGGAGTATTCCTTCCCTTTCCCCTACACTAATTCCCCTTTATCTTTAGCTATAGCTCATTATCCAGAGCAAAGGCTGCCTCCTTCCCTTGGATTTCCCCTGACCTTATTAAACAGAGTGGAGAAGACTTCCTGGTGATTGCTCATGTCAATCCCATCGCAGACTCTGAGCAGCTCCTCATCATCCTCAGACTTGGCCTCCTCAAAGGTCTCACACTGGATCAGGAGGTCCACATCTTCAATGTCTCTGCAGCAGGAGGAAGAGTAGGAAGTAGAACTGAGGTGGGGGGGTAGGTATGTGGTGGGGGGGGGGGAGGAGGGAGGAGGAGAGGGAGAGATCTCTGCTGCCCACCTCTAACCCATCCGCCCAAGGACAGGCACTACCACTACTCTGAGCAACCGTTCCTTCCCAGCAGCCAAGAAGGTCCTAGTATCAGTAACTTCACACATGTGTCATACAGGGGTGAGAAAAAGCGGCTGGTCCAGGTTCGGAGCGTTGCGGGACAGCCTGCTGCCAATTTACTGCTACCTAGGCACTCAGTAGCCAGTGAGAACAATCAGCTCTCATATACATAGGAATAAAGGAGATGCGGCCTCTCCCAGGGAGATACTGACGCAAACAAGGCCACGGAGGGGCTGAGTCCCAAAGCCCACAAAAATCTAGGTTTGATGTCTTGCTTCTGTGAGGGTCACAGGACATTTGTGTGGTCATTTGTGTGCATTCTTTCCATGCTGTGAGGTTACACGTTTCTATCTTTTGAGTCCCCAGGGCTGTACATGGAGGACGTGCTAAATAAATGTTTGTTGAATCAAATTGGATCCCGCTTCTATTTCCGAGTGAAACTCTGAGGGCTAGGTCTATGTCCTCCCAGTCTCTTTCCCTTGCCTCTTGACCTTTGCATAATAGATGTTCAAGAAAGACCAACTTTCTTGGTCTCTGGGATTGTTTTGAGTTGGACTCCTGTCTTTTTCAAACACAATCTTTCAAATGTTGATCACTAGAAGCCTACATGGGTCTATCAAGCACAGGTCATAGTAGAGTAACCTTATTGCCTTTTTTAACTTAGACTGGTAGACCAGGGAACACTCTAGGCATAGAATATCTAATGTTGGCAAAGCATTTCCCAAAGTCTCTCATCAAGGGGACAAAATAGGGGCAGCTAGGTGGTGCAGTAGATAGAGCACTGGCCGTACAGTCAGGAGGACCTGAGTTCAAATCTGGCCTCAGACACTTGATACTTACCAGCTGTGCGACCCTGGGCAAGTCACTTAACCCCAATTGCCTCACAAAGGCAAACAATATAAAGAGAGATCATCTAGATGGTAATATGGTCATATGGATTTGAACCTGGTTGATCAACAAGAACCAAAGAGTTATGATGAATGATCTAACATCAAACTAGAAAGAGGTCAGTCAGGGAGTCAACAGAGTCCCTTGGCCCTGTGCTATGCTGTTGTCAGTATCCCAGATCTATAGCATTTTCCAATTATACAAAGCAGGGAGAGATTTCTAACACGTTGAATGATAGCATCGAACCCCAAAGCTATAATGATGGGTCAAATCTAATAAGATTACATTTAACAAGGGACAACGTCAATGAATTCCTACTCCTGGATTACAAAAAAGATCAGTGCTAATAATAGGATGGAGGAGGCCAGGCTAGACTACTATTTGTATGAAAAAAAGATCTGGGAGTTTTAATGGACTGCAAGCTTAACAGCATGACATGACATTTATCTGAGGCTGTGTGAATAGAGGAACAGTGTGTCCAAGGTAAAGGAGTGATCATTTTGCTGTACCTTACCCTCATCATCCTATATCTACTCTACAGAGTTCAGTTAGGACGAAGATAAACCAAAGTGGGCTTGGAGGTGAATGAAGGCAACCAGGATGAGGAAGAAAATGGTGCCCAAGATGAATGAGACCCAACTGAAGGAACTGAGAACATTTAGCCTGGGGAAGAGAAGGCTTAGAGAGCTGTCTTCAAGTGTTTGGAGGCTGTCTGGTGCTTCTTCAGATCAGCTCCACAGGGCACAGCTGAGAATCCCAGACAAAAGCTGCATCAGGAGGCAGGTTTCAGTTTGATGGAAGGAAAAATGTCCTCTCAGTAAGAGCCACTCAAAAGTAGAGTGCCTTGGGTTATAAACCCTGAATTTCAAGGAACAGCTGGATCACAGGATTACAGATTCAGAGCTGTGAGGAACCCTACAGGCCACGAAGTCCAGTCCTTCAATTTTTAAACAGCTGGGACTCCACACCATACTCCTATCCTTTGCTCCAATGGGAGGAGGAAGGTTTGCTGCCTCGAAGGCTCAGGGATGTTAAATGACTTGTCCAGAGCTGCACAGTGGGTAACTAGCTGAGGCAGGATTCAAACTTGGGTCTTCTTTGCTAGTTCCTTCCCTCTGGTGATCACCCCCAATTTATCCCATTTGCATCTTGTTTGGACATACTTATTTGCTTATCATCTCCCTCATTTGACTGTGACCTCTTTGAGGGCAGGGAGTGTTCCCCGCCCCCTTCTTTGCATCCCCAGAGTTTAACATAGTTCTGGGAACATATTAATAGACTTTTTTTTTAAGGCAATTGGGGTTAAGTGACTTGCCCAGGGTCACACAGCTACTAAGTGTCAAGTGTTTGGTCTGAGGCTGGATTTGAACTCAGGTCCTCTTGACTTCAGGGCCAGTGCTCTATCCACTGTGCCACCTAGCTGCCCCCTATTAATAGACATTTAAAAGATGTTGGTTGACTTCATGACTTCAAAGGCAGGGCTCTATCCAGAGTGCCACCTACTTGCCTAAGGAAACATGGTGAAATGCCACTGAGTAAGTGGCACTGTTATATCTGTATGTGACTAAAAGTCACTAGAAGCTCTTCTGGCCTTCTCCAGAGGAGTACTAACTTTCTTTCTTTCCCACGTGACTACCGGTAGGCAGGGGTATGCTGCAGTCAGTTCCAAAGGGCTCACGAGACCCAACGGTTAAATTTTCAGTTTAGACATTTAGACCTTGGAAAGTGGCAGGTGCCATAAATCAGTGCTTGATTTATCATTGTGATTGTCTAGATGCAAGGAAGTGACAGATAACTTGTTACTAATACAGATTAAGCTTTAAAAATGTGTCATCAGTGCATCCCTCCTTCCTCCAAGCTGGGTTGTTAAATATTTACCCACACACCCTTGCTTGAAGAGGACAATAGAGGGATTTTATGAGGTGGCACAGAAACCTCTGAGGCCATTTCCAAGAGCTTCTGACTCCATTCCAGTGAAGCCAAGTGAGAGGGACCCTATAACTAGGTGATTAAGACTATGACTAATCCATACAGTAACTCAGTTCAGATGGGGAGTCTGCAGTGCCACGATCTCAAGACTGAGTCATCACTAAGGAGAGTGGCAGAAGATGGACAGGCATGGATGGGCTGTGAACCTACATGGCTAGAGGGAACATTCACAAGGATTAAGTCACAGATCCTTCTAAGATGACATTTACTGTTCTACTCCCCCATCCCGTGAGTTCAGCATATAATGGTTGGCTCGAGGTATAGCACAAGCAAGAGAGTACTGGAGATGGCCCCTACCATCTCTTAGAGCCAAATCTTAAATTTTAAGTATGAGCATTTGCACCTTGGAAATGAGCAAATGTTACAAATCAAGATTTGATTTCTCTTATTTTTTTGTGGGGAGGGGTGTTAGGCAATGGGGTTAAGTGACTTGCCCAAGGTCATACAGCTAGTAAGTGTTATGTGTCTGAGGCCAGATTTGAACTCGGGTCCTCCTGACTCCAAGGCTGGTGCTCTATCCTAGCTGCCCCTGGGATTTGATTTCTCAAGGCAGCTAGGTGGCCAGTGCATAAAGTACTGGGCCCAAAACCTGAGTTTGAATCTGGCCTCAGACGCTTACTGGCCATGTGCCTTTGAGCAAGTCGTTTTTACTGCTTTTTGCCTCAATTTCCTCAACTGTAAAACGTGGGCAGTAATAGCATCTACCTCCTAAGGTTGTTCTGAGGATCAAATAAAATAATATTTGTAAAGTGCTAAGCACAGTGCCTGGCACATACCAAGCTCTATATAAATGATAGCTATTATTACTGTTGCTGTTTTATTGATTGTCTAGACTTAAGAAAGTGGTGGAGAACGCGTTAATAATGCAGATTAAAATTAAAAATGTGTTGGAGAGCCAGTTGTTAAACATTTGCTACTAAACCCCTGAATGAGGGATTCTAGTTATGATTAAGAAAATACTTCCTAATAGCACGGATTGTTCTGAATGATGACCACAGGTAGTGTGGTACAGCAGAAAAAAGGCTGCATTTTACAGTCCGAGGACCTGGGTTGAAGTTCAGGTTCTACTACTTATTAGCATGTATGTGACCTCAGGCATGTCACTTCCTTCTCTAGTTCTCAGTTTCCTCATTTATAAAAAGAGAGGGCTGGATTTGCCCCGCCAAGATCTCTTTCTTTATATTTCAGTTCTAAATGTCTGATCCTATTATTCCTGACTCGTGATGGGATACAAGGCTGAGAGTGCCAGGATGCCCCCTGCTGGAGAGACAAGGAAGAACTGTACAAAGACTTTCCTCGGGGTACCCAGCCTGAGAAGGGTTTTGCATCGGTAGCTGTTTTGGAAGGGGGTGGATGGGAAGGGGATGGGGCAGGAAGAAAGCCTGGAGGGCATTTGGGGACACACACTTAAATATGAAAGTGAATTGGGCTGGGGTTAGGAAGAAGGGTGAGGGATGAGGAAAACAGGAACCTTACCTCAGTTTGGTTAAAACATCCAGCAATTGGAGACCTGAGAAAATCAAACCAAAAGCAGTTTTTGCACTTGTTACCTTAGATAGGTCAGTGACGTTCATTGGTTAAGGAGTATGTTATCTTGACTTGGTAGAGCTATATCCGTAGATGAACACTGCTCTATCTTTATTTAATTGCTGTGAGAGGTGGTGGGGAGGAAGGTGAGGAAAGGCCTGTTATTCTGGGTTTGACAGGTAAGGAAAATGATACCCAAAGAAGGGAAAGAATAGCAGCTAGCTAAGGACAAAGACAAGACCTGAGCCTAGGCTCCCGACTGTGGGTGGGGGGACTTCCAGTCTTTCCACTGCACCATGTAACTATGAAAACTGCAAACCAAAGACAACCTAGGTAGTTCCCTCCAACCCACAATCCCCAGGCCACCACCTTCTCAGGAACTGCCTTGCCTTAGGGACCACATATCTTGACTATACCCTTTCATCTCCATCCTCCCCTCCACTTCTGATTGGTGAGTGCCTGGGGTGGGGTAAGGGGAGACACCAAATAATTCAGACTGGCTGTCTCTAGACCCGTTCTCAACAGCTGGGACTCCACACCACACTTCTACCCTCTGCTCCAATGAGAGGAGGAAGGTTTGCTGCCTCTAAGGAAATTCTAAAGACACAGTGGAGTTTCCTCACATGGTTTGAGCCAGGAAAGCTTAGGTGGAATTGATGCTTGACTTGCTCTGAAAGGGGACAAGGCTTCTCTGGATGGTGAAGCGTACCTACAGTAGGAAGGCAGCGGCCTGGTGCTCAAGGTTGGCCTGAGATTATATGTAACACTTGTAAAAGTTTGTTTTAGAAATGCAGAGATTATCTGCCCTAGGAGGATTAGTTGAAAGTGAGGGTTCTGGGAAGGTGAGGATGCCCGCAGAGGGTCTCCAGGGCAGCAAACGGAGGGGGTACCAATTATACAGATAATCAGGGAGAAATAGTCAAAGGGAAAAAATTTAAATAACGTCAATTACTAAAAAGTAATGGTCTTCTACTATTATAGTACTGCTATCTAGCTCCATCTGTAATTCATTTAACTTTTCTTTTAAAAATTTAGATGCTATAATATAGATTCATTAGTGATACTGCTTCATTGTCTATGGTACATATGAAGAAAGACACTATCTGCATCCAGAGAAAGAACTGATAAACAGAAGTATGGATAGAATAATTTTACATATATATACCTATTTGTGTCTAATGGTGGCCATCTCTAGGGTAGGGGGGAGGGAAGAAAAAAAGAAATTTACATGATAATTTTGTCGTATTATTTGGAAGGAATAGCAAGTTGCGCATAGTAGATTTGCAGTTTCATGTACAATTATCTTTTTTATTGTACTATGTTATGGAAACGCTTGTTTTATTCCATAAATAAAAATAAAATAAATTTTTTTTTTAAAAAAAGGCAGTGGTCTTTGGGGTCCAAAGAGCTGACTGCAAGTCCAAGCTCAGTCATTTACTAGCCATATGACCCTGGGCAAGTCCTTTCCCTTCTCTGGGCCTCCATTTTCTCAACTGTAAAATATCTGCACTCCCTTCTTCCCTCCCTTCCAGGGTTGTTGTGGTTCCAGTGCTTTGTAGACTTTGTGGGCTACAGAAATGAGGGCAAGTTTTTATCATCGGGTAAATGCCAAGGTTTCCTTCTTGGCTTCTTACCAATGAACTCATTCCGGAGCTGAGTTCGGGCCCTGAGCTCCTCGGTGCCCAAGATGATGGCATTGATGACGCTCAGCAGGGTGATGATGTAGGGAATATTGTCTGTGTTGGAGAGCTCATTCATGATTACACTGAAGCGGTACTGCTGGCTCTTGACCACCTGGGTATAAGGGATATGAGGGAGATCAGAGTTCTCAGCTGAGTCCCATTCCCCACCTTGCCCAGATAGCCCTATTGGCTATGACTTGAAGTGACAGCCACTAGTCCTTAGCATCTGACCAGGAAGTCTCTATGGACATTGTTAGGGAATCTTCACTTATGTCCATCCCATCTGTCCCCCTTAGACTAGGGGCTCACTGAGGACAAAGCCGTGTCTCCCTCTCACACTGGCACAGAGTCCTGCCTCATCTCCTCAGACTGGATACTCTCCAAGGCAGAGTCCTGGACTCTGCACATAAGGCTGCCCAGCAGTGGTGTGTGTTCGTGAGTGACTGGGGGTCTCTCTTGTTGGCACAGAATTCCAGGTAGGAGGTTCCCTGGCCTCTCAGTTGCTATGAGTCCATCACTATGACTTCCAGGCTCCTTCTGGGCTAACTAGGGGCCAGCATTTTGTCTCCATTTTACCTTATAGTGGTCCAGGGCATCCAGAATTTGCTTGTGGCCTTCAGGGGAGTAGATAGAGAGGGCAGCTAACAGCTCAAACACTTGCTTTTTGACCATCACATTAGAGGTGTCCAGAGCTGCAGAGAGAAAAATGAGAATGTGAAAGGCATTCTTTCTTCCCCAAGTGCCATATTCACTGTCCCTCCAAATAAGGAAACCTAATCAACAGGGAGCTCTGCCTGACTTCAATTTCTTTAACACTGACAGTTTAAACCACTCAAGGATCTCAGAAGGCCATGGTTGGAAGGCCCCTTAGGATCCACAGAGTACGTCCAATATCTCATTTAATAGATGGGGAACCATAGGCTAAGAAAAGGGTAGTGAGTTGCCCCAGTTCACCATACAGGCCACATGATATTCCATATTGCTTTCTAATTGTCTTCTGTGTTTTCTCTCCCTAGACCCCAAGTTCTCTGAGGAAGGGCTGGGGTCTTCCTGTCTCTAGAACTCTGAGCTCCCTGAGGGTGGGAGGGGCCCAAGTTTCTTGCTCTAGCTCCTCTTCCACAACTGGGTCAGCACAAGGCTGTTCTGTCTGCAAGGCTTAGAACAGATCTTCAGGTCTGTCTATTCTGTGTTTCTTCTTGAGAAACCAGTTTGCCCTCTCCTGGAATAAGCAGTCTTATCGGTCTAGAGCTTTAAATCCCGGTCATCTAATAAGCTGTCCTGGTAAAACTTTGGCTCAGCACTGGCTCCAGAAGTCATGACCGGTTTCTAGGGACCCTTAGAAGCATCAGGACCTAGCACCTTCACCCTCGGTCTGTTAGCTCCAGGTTCCCTGGCTGTCAATACCCAGCCCACTCTAAGGATTTTTCTGTGAGAATTTTTCTCTTCCGGCTGGCACATGTAAATGTGTCTTTTTTTTTTTTAAACTCAGCACCAACTGTTATTTTGATAGATGCAGGCTGGGTACCCGACTTTGTCTTCCCTCAACCTCATTAGTTGTATGTGGGGTTTTTGGTTTTTTTTCCCCTGACCTGCTTTCTGAAGCACTTGGGTAGAAAGAATAAGTCCTGAATAGAAGCTAACCGAGCCAGGCTACGCCCACGGGCACTTGGGGTGCTTCCTCTGTGTCACTTGCTAGCTATCTTCCAGCTACTCAGTGGAAGGCATTCAGAGCCTCAGGGGATGCCATGCAGAGTAGGGCCCCCCTTCCTTCAGGACTCCCACCCCCAAATGTGCCAGGGACCCAGATTACACCAACATTCCAACATCTCTGATCTGGCCGTGAAAACTGACTCAAGTCCAACGGCTGAGAAGCCTCCCTGGGTCTTGGCTCTCCTGTCTGTGAAATGATGGGAGTTGGAATGAATGATTCCTAAGGTCTGGAATTTCACATTCTATTGGTTTTTTATTCCTGATTAATATGTATAATACATGTCCTAGGATTCTTCCTTTCCTCAAAGGCAGCTAGGTGACATGGTAGATATAGTGCTGGGCCTGGAGTCAGGAAGACTTGAGTTCAAGTCTAGCCTCAGACACTTATTACCTGTGTGACCCTGGGAAAGTCACTTAACCTCTCCATTTACCTAAACTGCAAAATGGGGATAATAATAGTAGCTACCTCTCAGGGTTGTTGTGAGGTATGAATAAAATAATAATTGTAAAGCATTTAGCACAGTGCCTGGCACATAGTAAGCACTATATAAATGTTAGCTATTATTATTTTCACCAGGCCTGGAATTGGGACAGAGCTGAGCTTGAATCTGGTCTCAGACACTTACTAGTTGTATGCCTCTGGGCAAGTTACTTTACCTCAGTTTTCTCATCTGAAAAATGGGGATGACACTAGTACCTCTCTCCCAGAATTGTTGTGAGGGTAAGATAATGTAATATTTGTAATATATTTTGCAAAACTGAAAGGGCTATACAAATGTGATTATTATTATACAACCCAGGACATTTACATTCTTGTGAGGAAAAAACAATAAAATTGTGAGGTGGTTTTTAAGTCTTAAAGCATCTAGATAAATGCTACCTATTATCATTCTTTCCAGATCTGATGTAGCTGGACTTGACATCAGAGAAAACACAGAGCAATTTAAAAATAAGGCCAGAAGAACCTTCTAATCTGTACCCTTGGCTCTGCATTCCACGGGACCATCCTACCATTCTGCTCAGTCCCCAAGAGACTTCTGAACAAGGTACAGAATAACTCCATGATGGTAGCACCATCTAGAATGATACTGAGGCCATAGTCTATTAAAGGATTGCCTGACTGTCAAAAGCCAGGTTCTGATCACGTTCCTCTACTGCTCAAAATCTTTCCTTGGCTCCCTATTGCTATGGAACACAGGCAAAAACTCCTCGGCTTAGCATTTGATGCCCTTTGTAACAAGGTCCCAAGGCCTTGAATTCCAGTATTTCTATCTGTGCGGCATTGGGCAAGACACTAACTCTCTCTGGCTTCTTCATCTGTAAGATAAATGGGTTATACTAGTAGATCACCAAAGTTTATTCCAGTTCTAAAATTCTATGATTCTACTGTGTCATTTATGCCCCCCACTCCAGCTCAGTTAAATTGGGTGACTTGTCATTCCTTGAACATATTCCATTTTCCCACCTCTGGGTCTTGACTGGTACCATTCCCTTTGCCTGGTGTGCTCCTTCTCCACAACCCTTCATCCAACTTCACCTGTCAAAATACTACCAGTTCTTTCTGGCCCAGCTCAAGTGCCGCCTTATCCAAGAAGCCTTCCCTGATCACCACTAGCTACAGGTGATTTCTGCCCTAAGCCTGAACAACGCTGGGTCTAACTTTAATGTAGAATGGCTCCGATAGCTAGATTGGTAGTGCAGGATGGTGGAAGGGGCTCTAGATGGAGTGAGATCTAGGTTCTTAACTCGGTCTGCCACTTATTGAGATTTGGGCAAACACATACCTCTTTTGCCTGTTTCTTCCTCTAAAATTAGAAGACTGAATTTGATGTCCTCTGTGTTTCCTTCAAACCCTCATAGGCTGTGCTTCTGCAGTTACTAGGTATATTCCCTATTCTGCCCCACTAGACTACCAGGTCCGTAAGGGCAGGGCCTAATTACTCTATCTCCACCAGATTCACAGATCCTCACAGTTGGAATGCAGCATCTATGTAGTCTCACTTGTACCTGAATAAGATTCTCCTTCAGCTCTCACTTGCATTCCTCCAATGGTGGGAAATTCATCATGTCCCAAGAAGGACCATGTCCTTCTTGGGCAGCAGCTCTTAGGTTTGCTTTATATTTAGGGCTGTCTAGAATTTTAGGGACACTGGACAATAATGGAGTCTGAGCCCAGATGCTTAGAGTAGCACAGCCTGGGCTGTAGGAGATTATAACGCTCAGACGTGGGGGGCACTTCAAAGGTCGTCTCAATCCTTATTATACTGAAGAGGAAGGTGAAACACAAGTAACTCTCATTTATATAGTGTTCTAAGTTTTCTAAAGGGCTTTCTGTACAGTAATCCTTGTGAGGTATGTAGTATTTTAATTCCCACATTATAGGGAAGGAAACTGAGGCCTGGATAGGTCACGTATTTTGCCTGTGGTCATATATCCAGTTAGTGTCAGAGTGAGAATTTGAACCCAGGACCCCTGACACTGGAGATGTCAATGATAAAACAGTCCTCTCTGCACCTCCCCCTTCCTCCCCGCCACACTCTTCCTTCCCAGGCTTAGCCACATGTGGAGCTGACTGCTTTTCCCATGCCCCTGTCCCCTCTCTCCCTAGACAGCCCCTCTGTGGCAGCAGCCGGCCCTTACCCTCTGAGAGCTTGCACACATAGCCCTGGTTGTTCAGGATGTACTCGATTCCCTGGCGGGCATTCATGATGGCCCGCACACAACTGATGCACGTGAGCTGTAGCAGGGCATCAGAGATTCTTGCCACACCCCGGCCAGACAGCCGGGCCAGGGCTTCCAACAGCAGGTCAAGGCCGCTCTGCTCCAGGAACTGCACCAGCCAGCCATCGTCGCTGCTCTCCAGCCGCTTGCGCAATCCAGAGTAATTGACCACGGAGGGCATCTGCAGGAGGCGGATGCACAGCTCAGGCTCGGCATTCTCCAGGTTGGCCTCTGTGGGGTCCCCATCCTGGGGCCCCAGCTTTTCCTTCAGGGCAGCCCACTTCTTCTGCACTCCCTCCTTCCCTGACATCTTGCCAACCTGGGTAAGGGAGGGAAATGAGAAAAAACAGATGTATTAGCACAGGACAGACCCCCGGGTCAGAAGTCAAGAGGTGGGAAAAAAGAAGTCTAAGGAAGCAACCCCATCCTACGAGACAAGAGACCTGGATTCTGGTTCCAGTTTCTAGCACGGACTTTGCAGTGTCATTGTGGGCAAGTCACTTGACATTTGTGAATAACGGATTTCCATCACAGGATGGGTCCTTAGAGATCATCTAGTTCAAAGCCTTGATTTTACAGAAGGGGAAATTGAGGTCCAAATATGTAAGGAAGGAAAGGAAACAGGCACTTACCAAGCACCTACTGTATGCCAGGCACTGTGCTAAGTGCTTTCTAAATGGTATCTCATTTGAGACTCACAACAACCCTAGGAGTTAGGTGCCATTATTATCCCCATTTTACAGTTGAGCCAACCGAGGCAGGCAAAGGTTAAGTGACTTGTCCAGGGTCACAGAGCTAAGAAGTGTCTGAAGCCTTAATTTCAGGTCTTCCTGACCCCAGGCTCAGTATGTCTCAGAACTTGCCTAGGATTCAGGAGACCTGAATGTTACATCTGATGTTAAAATGGGATCAATAGAAAGTGGTACCATCTCCCACCTCTGAGCCTTGGCACAGGCCAGGGGTGGGGACCTGCAGCCTTGAGGCCACATGTGGCCCTCTAGGTCCTCAAGTGTGGCCCTTTGATTGAATCCAAACTTCACAGAACAAATCCCCTTAATAAAAAGATTTGTTCTGTAAAACTTGGACTCAGTCGAAAGGCCGCACCCGAGGACCTAGGAGGCTCAAGGCTGCAGGTTCCCCACCCTTAGCGTAGGCTATCCCCTATGCCTGAAGCGGGCATAGGGGTTCTAGCTCTCTTTCTCCCATCAAGTTGCTGTGTGCCTTTGGGAAAATCCCTTTCCTTTGCTGGGCTTCTATTTCTTAAAATGAAGGCGCTGGACTAACCCCTCTCTAAAATGTCACCCAGCTCTCAAAATACTCAACTCCGTGATTCTCTAGCCAACAACGGTCCCACGGGCTGAGCCACAGGAGGGTCTGGCTGTCCTCCCTTAAAGGTCAGGGCTCCCCCAGCTGCTTTTAGAAACGGTTGGTGATGCTGCCATTATGTGTTAAGAATCAAAGACTTAAAGGGGAACAAAGTACCCAATGCACGACAGGAAATTTTCATGCATCGATGAAAGCGGAAAAGTGGCAAAAGGGTTTAATATAAGCTAGGGCAAAGGGAGGCACTTGCCTTCCTGGGCAGAAGAGCATTCAGTCTTTGAGGGAAGGGAACATATACTTGTTTTTATTTGTGTCCCCACAATGTAGAACAGCTCGTAGCACATAGTAGGTGCTTTCTGACTGACTATAGTTTTTACTCAGATAACCCGGACTTAAATACCCCATCCTGATCCTGCTTATTATTCTAGCTGCCCATTTCTAGTATACCACTTTCATAACAGTGGGCACATACATGATGACAATGCCGGTTGATCCAAGAGGAGGAGAATAGTTTAGGATTTCTTTCCAATTCCCTTCCAATATATGTCCCATTCAATAAACATTAAGAGCTTACTAGGGGCAGGGGAACTGACACAGTCCCTACCCTCAAGGTGGGTTCAGAGATCTCTGCTGTCATGAAATTAAGAGATGCATGCTCCTTTGGAAGGAATGTTATGGCAAATATGGATAGCATACTAGAAAGCAGAGATACCACCTTGCCAAGGAAGGTCCACATAGGCAAAGCTATGGTTTTTTCAGTAGAGTTGGACTGTCAGGAAAGCCGAGCACCACAGAATCAATGCTTTCAAATCATGGTGCTGGAGAAGACTTTTTGTTTGTTTGTTTGTTTGTTTTAATTTTATTAATTTATTTTGATTTATCAACAATCACTTCCATATGCTTTTGAGTTGAAAATTTTTCTCCCCCTTCCTCCCCCCAACCTCTCAAGACGGCGCACAACCTGATATAGGCTTTACATTTACATACCCATGAAACATATTTTCACATTAGTGAAGTTGTAAGTAAAAATTAAAACCAACAGGAGGAACCATCAGAAAGAGGAAACAAAACTCAACAGAAGGTAAAAATAAGTGACAGCGATTCGACTTCCATAGTTCTTTCTTTGGAGGTGGACAGCATTTTCCATCCCGAGGCCTCTGGAGATGTCTTAGATCCTCGTAATGCTGAGAAGGGTTCAGTTTAACAATATTAGTCATTGCATTACGTGGCTGTTATTGTGTACAGAGTCCTCTTGGTTCTGCTCACTTCACTCAGCATCAGACCATATAAGTCTTTCCAGGTTTTTCTGAAGTCAGCCTGTTCATCATTTCTTATAGCACAATAGTATTCCATTACATTCATATACCACAACTTGCTCAGCCATTTCCCAAATGATGGGCATCCTCCTGGAGAAGACTTTTGAAAATCCCTTGGACAGCAAGGAGATCAAATCAGTCAATACTTACAAGAAATTAATTTAGATTATTCATTGGAAGGTCAAATACTGAAGCTGAAGCTTAAATACTTTGGCCACATAATGAGAAAACAAGACTCACTGGAAAAGGGTTGGGAAAGATTGAAGGCAAAAGGAAAAGGGGATGGCAGAGGATGAGATGGACAGATGGTGTCATAGACACAGTGAACGTGAAATTGGAGAGGCTTTGAGAGATAGTGGAGGATAGAAGAGGCTGGTGTGCAATGGTCCATGGGGTCACAAAGAGTTAGATACAACTGAACAGCTGAACAACTACCCTCAAGGAACTCACAATGTAATTGAGGGGATTCAATCTGTGTTCAAATAAATTTAATATAAGGTAGAATGGGATGGAGTCAAAGAGATCTGCATAAAGTGCTCTAGGAAAATAGGATGGGAAGGTGACTGGGGGGGACTGGGTCAGGGAAGGCTTCATGGAGGAAGTAGCTCATGAGTGAGACCTAGAAGGAAGAAAATTGTTTCGACAAGCAGACAGAAGGATAGAGTGTATTCCAGACCTAGGCAATGGCTAGCCTGTGTAAACAGGCAGAGATGCAAGAGGACAGGATGAGGTCAGGAGTAATTGGGGCTACTGAAAGATAGGTCAGGGCCAGAATGTGGAAGGTCTCCTTGAATGCTGGGCTAAGAAGCTTGTATTTTTCCTATTAGCCACAAGGCACTGCTCACAGTATCTGCAAATGCTCAAGCACGTACAACTTCAGGAGCAACCGTTTAGCTTCCATGTATGCTCAGGGAACTACGATGACTCACAGATTATTTTCCTGTCCTTTTTCCCAACCTGAGGGTTCCTTCACATTTTGGATCATGGAAGTGGATGTTCAGAAGCAAGGCTGGAAGCCCACGGGTGGAATATCTGAAAATGGCAGTATGGCCTTGTGGAAAGAATATGGAGTCAGGAAGATTGGGTTGGAATGCTAGTGTTGGAATTTACTACTCATTTGCCTTTAGACAAGTCATTTCCCTTTGAAACTGGCCCTGCCCTAGGGCTCTGCTGCTGGAGGCAAGGAGAGACCAGGGTTTTAAGAAGGGAGATTTCTGTATCATACAACATGATATTGATCTGAGCACTGTCCTCACCCAAAAATAACACACCAATCTAGCCAGAGGCTGTTTTCATCTCTTACCCCCTAAAAGGCTCTGGGCCACTTGTCCAGTGAGAAGCTTGAGGGGGAGGGGGTGAATGTGGACAGAGGGAGGAGCTACCAGAGGCCATTGGGGAGGGCCCCCAAGCACCAAGTCAAAATCTGAAACAGGCTCCTGTAGGTCAAAGTCCAAAGGTGGAGAGGAGGGAAAAAAAAAACAAGCCAATTTCCTTATCACTGCCTAGGCAAATATACTTTTTTCCTCCTTTCCCAAACTTTAAGTAGAGTTTAGAGGAGGAAGATTTCTTCCTCCCATAGGCCTTGGAAATCATCTCTAACAGCACCGGCTTAGGCAAAATCCTTCAAGTTCCTTCTACTTCTAAAATGTATAGTTCTGTGAAAACTTCACCTCCCCCATGAAGGCTTTCTAGATTGACCCCACCTACTTGAGTAACTCTACCAAAATCCCCTAGGATTTAGGCATGTAACCATAAGATATAAAGTACAGTAACAGTCTCAATATTTATTTATTCTTCCTACCTGTGTGACCAGGCAAAAAAGGTAGGCCAGTCACATAGCCCCAGTGAGACAACATCTGGACAATTACAGTTTTGAGTAGAACCTCTCTGGGTGAGAATCACACAGGATGAGGAGGAGGGGTGGAGAGGCTATGAATTGCATGGGTGGACTGTTTACTTAAGGGAGATCAAGATGTCCTCAAGGACACAAAGTCCATGAGGCTAAGGGTAAGAAAAGGCTGTTTTTTTCCTTCTCTGACTCCAGGGTTCCTGGGGAGTAGAGTTCTGTCTCATATCAGACAGGGGCTCCTGAGGGTTCAATGTGGTCTTTCTGCCTGGCATGGAGTTAAGGATTGTCACTCAAGGCAATTTATGTAGTCCATTCATTCTCCTCCCACAAATGCCTCCCATCACAAGTTCCTGAGTCCTCTAGTTCTCTCTTCCATCCCATCCCCCCTGCCATGACTGTTCTTTTTTGGAGAAACTTTTGATTCCTGTATTCTCCCCCTACCCCCTCCATCAGCCCCCAAACTATCTGAACATGGGTACCAGGCTGCCTTCTCCATCTGCCCCAGCTTTCTTTGGTCACGAATATTCCTGACTCACAGCAAGTCTCTCCCCACCCCAGGCATCTGTGGGAGGAATTGGAGGACAAAAGTCTACAGGTTCTGATTCTGGTGAAAAGTCACTGTGTGACCTTACTCAAGTCCTTTCCCCTTCCTAGGTCTCAATCGGCAAAATGAGAGACTGGACTAGACCTCTCTTAAGGCCCCTTCCTGCTCTGACCTCTCAAGAGACTTTACTCTCATTAGTACTTTTATCAGAGACTTTTCTGAACTCTTATGGTATTCTAGTGCTCTGGCTGGGTTATCTTGTCTCTCCAACCATATTCTGAGCCTCT